ATGAAACTAAATCTCCAGTGGATTATTCCGCAGTTATAAAGAAACTACGGCAAAATTCAGAAAGGCAGTTGAATTATCTAAATAAGAAGCGAAGAGACAATCAGCTGTATAAAGTAGGTGATACTGTTTTGTTAAGCCGAGGTCAAAGACCTGAAAAGTTTTCTTGTGAATTTGTTGGTCCTTACATAATCAAGAGATCACTTACCAATAATCGGTATTTGATTAAGAAATTAGGTACTCCGAAAACTTTTAAATGTTCTAAGGATCAGTTGCGGCATTGGCCTACTGATTGGACGCCTGACGATTTCCAAAGATTATTACAACTAGACAATTGTAAGTACATAATTTGACTTGTTGTGCCGTGTTAGATTGATTTGAGTTGTGTATATAAAACTAATTTAAATAGTCTTTGGAGTATTTTGTGTTTTGATTTTGTTGTTTGAGAGCCCATCGCAAATACGTGCTTATTGCAGTATTTCCATCGCGCTGCTCAAGTCAACTCTGTGTTTTGATTTTGTTGTTTGAGAGCCCATCGCAAATACGTGCTTATTGCAGTATTTCCATCGCGCTGCTCAAGTCAACTCTGTGTTTTGATTTTGTTGTTTGAGAGCCCATCGCAAATACGTGCTTATTGCAGTATTTCCATCGCGCTGCTCAAGTCAACTCTGTGTTTTGATTTTGTTGTTTGAGAGCCCATCGCAAATACGTGCTTATTGCAGTATTTCCATCGCGCTGCTCAAGTCAACTCTGTGTTTTGATTTTGTTGTTTGAGAGCCCATCGCAAATACGTGCTTATTGCAGTATTTCCATCGCGCTGCTCAAGTCAACTCTGTGTTTTGATTTTGTTGTTTGAGAGCCCATCGCAAATACGTGCTTATTGCAGTATTTCCATCGTGCTGCTCAAGTCAACTCTGTGTTTTGATTTTGTTGTTTGAGAGCCCATCGCAAATACGTGCTTATTGCAGTATTTCCATCGTGCTACTCAAGTCAACTCTGTATTTGTAAATGCGTGCTTACTACAGAATTTCCATCGTGTCTGTCAGCTTGTGAGTTATTACGTAAATCTAGTCCCAATTGTTTGTGAAATTCATTTGATTGATGAATTCTCGTTTTTTGTTCATTACAGGGAACTCTGGGACGGCTGATGATAAATCTGCAGAATGAAAGGTTTACGAATTTTTACCGATGTACACATCTATATATTTTAACGTTGCTGTAAAGAAATAAAACTTTGTTTTTTTTCTGTGTGTTCATGTCTGTGACACTTCAAATGAGTCATGCATTCCGAGAGCGGAATGTTGTCAGTTTGGCCGTGTTAGATTACGTTCGAATATTTAAATATTGGCGCGATCTATCGATTTCGGATGCGTCGGGAAATCTTCGGGTCTATTCGCGCGCGTGAGCCGGGACGCCGCAGAGGGTGGCGACGGGCATCAGTTTGATGCCCTGCTCTGGCATGCACCGCTCGACATTGACGCCAAGATCGGAAAAGTCGTCTTTAAAACAATCTCGATTTATTTAAATCTAACAACACGCTCTGAAGTACCGTTAATAAACCCCCACCATCTAAAAATCTCCAATAAGCCGCCAGTTATACTTACTAGTGATACTTTACAGATTCAAGCAGAATTTGAATACTTTCATAATTGTCTTTTAGATGTACTGAGTGACCGATTAGAAGAAATGGGAATTTTATTCCGTTGTGACATAAAACAGCTTTTAGCTCTTTGTGGAACTTAGGAACACAGGGTATGCAAATTTCTTCGAACATATCATTTAGGTACATTATTGCAAAAAAAAGTTCATCTTCTTTTGTGTCTAGCTCGCTGATCCGTGATATTAACATCATCATCAGCGAGAGCCCAAAATCTCTTATCTGGTGGCTAAAATGATGTTTTACACTTTCGCTACTACATTTTAAGCTTTTTTAGACTTGTAGAAAACGCCTGATCATTGGCTATCGAACAACTGCCATCTAGCGGCACTATGTGAAAGTAAAAAATTAAAATTCATAAAAAAAATAAGAAACTTTCACAAAATCAATAATTAGTAAAATCAGTTAGTCTTGTAAAATCGATCAGTTTTGGTTGCTGGACTATGCTTAATTATTAATAAGGAAAATATCAAATGTCAACAAAGTAATATAAATATGAATAATTACATTTTATCTTGATTTTGAATATCATCTGACATACTAAATAATAAATTAGGATTTCATTTTGCTAATTCTGGATAACTCAACATTAATAAAAACGGTAGTATGTAGCGACCGCGTTTTAAATATCATGATGACCGTTACGCCCCCTAGTGGCCGTTTTAGAACCTCGAAAACATTTGGCATCTTTTTGGCAGTTCGTTTCCTTGGTCGTTCTTACCGGGACACACATTTTTTTTTAAGTTGTTGCGGCGTTTCGCGAGCCATAGAGCAAAATTTGCATCTTTTCGTATGGTTTACATAGAATGGAACGTATTTCTCCGTACGCGTATGCAATCGTTTCTTGATAAATAAATACGTTTCGAGCGATTGCACCCGCCGTCGTTATTACGTCGAGAATTCGGTCGCGAGATTGTGATTTACGAAGTCTTGATACTGCTCTTGTTCCACTTTCACCAAGTGCATAGAACTGACCCTGAGGAGATGCCTAAGATTATAAAAAAATGGGTCACCGTCATCCTATTCATCCGATTTATTTGGTAAGAAAATAAATTCATACGCTCAATAATGATATTTTGTTTTTGTGTCACTAAACCTATTGTTAATTTTTTTGTTTTCAATTTATTAAATCGAACTGAAACAAAAAGTGTGGTTAGACAACTCTATGAAACGTCAAACAGTTTTCGTGTATTACTGGTGGCGTATCCATCTACACAATATAAAATTCGGCGATTAGGTTTGAATGGGGAGAATGCAAGGAAATCATAGCGAATTCAACTCGATATTCAGGAAAAGCACCATAAATGTCTTTAGTTAACGCTCTGGTAAACACTTAGGAATATTTAAATTTAACAAATTACACGTTATTGCTTAAGTATGCATGAAAGTTTACGGCGCACTTCCTAATTGAGGTTTGACGAAAAAAAGATACAGGGGTGTCGCGTTCGTTTGGCCTTTTTTTATTTTATTATAATACGATTTTAGCTGTTGGCGGTTAAACTTCCTAGATAGCTTTCACCCTCGGAGAAACATTAGCCGCGATTCATAGGCGTACTCTGAGGTATTGTCAAACTTTATTGTCGTAGATCAATCTCCGCTTTGGCCAATTTTAACCCGAACTTATTGCTTATTAAAAACTACATTTTTATTATTATTTGTTTGATCGCAGGACAAGAAAGATCATGACTAAATGTTAAAGAGGCTGCTGGTATATACAGGGTGAGTCAACGATTGGGTAAAGTTCTTTATTAATTTCAATGGTTTCAGATTTAATACTATATAGGGTGGCTCAAAAAAGCGTAATGAATAAAAATTATTTTTTTTTTAACCGGGACACCCCATTTTTAAATGTTGTTTTGAATTCGCTCCTGCAATTTTTTTATCAATATATATTTTAATGTTCCTAAAAAATACGAGTTTTCACACTTGCACCTGCAATTGCTTGCTCTACGGTTTGGGAGGTTTTGCATGAAAATGATCTTCGACCCTTTTATGTTTCAATTTTGGGAAAAAATTGCCATATTCTTAAATGTAATTTTGTTTAGTGACGAAGCTGTATTGTAATTTTTCGAAATCTGTATCATATTGAAAGAAAACATCAGCGCCTGTTTTCTTTAAATGTATGGGCAGGGATTATAGGAGATAATCTTATAAGACCTTATTTCATTAATGGACCGCTTAATGGGGAAATGTATTTGCAATTTCTCCCAGAGGAACTAACACCTTCGCTGGAAAAGGTACGCTTGCAGTGAAGACAAAACATATGGTTAATGCAGGTATTTAAATCAAGCATAGGTCGGGGCGGCCCTCTAGCTTGGCCACCTCGTTCACCAGACCTTAATCCGACGGACTTCTTTTTTTGGGGGCACTGTTTAGTGTATGAAACACCTATAACAGATATCAATGATCTACGACAAAACATAATAAACCGTTCCGAAATCATTAGAAATAGGTTAAACGTATCTTTTCGACAGCATTTGTCACAGTGTATCGACGTAAAACAAGAGTACCTACTTTTGAGGATTTGTGATTCTGTTTAAGGCAATCTTTTCTATGTTGCAATGTCAGTCTAAATAAATAAAATACAAGGAGAATAAAAGTAATGTTCTACGTAAAGTGCCCTCTAGTGACAGATTTCTGAAGCACTTTTATTTTGTAACGATGAGTTTTACTAATTCAGGTTTGTGTGTAAAATACCGGCTTATCCGTTAAAAATAAGGCACTTTTACAATAGTGGTCCATTGTCGTTCGAACACCAGTCTTACTAATATCCGGTAGATCTCCGAATGCATGTTTTTGCGAATTCTCGTTGTTTTCTTCAAAATACTTCTCTTTGCGTTTGCGATTATTGACTAGGTCAAAATAAGATACACGAGTTGTTGCAAAATTTTTCTAAAAAAAATGGAAAACTTCATTTTTCTCGAAAAATACTCAAAATTTCGCGGGCTATGTAATGACAAAAAACACTCAAAATCAATCGAATAATTAGAATTTTTAAAAATATTCATAGCATTAAAAAATATAAGGTATAACACCCTATAACATAACTAGAATGGCTAAATAGTCTTAGTATGCTAGATAGTTTAGCGAAGCTAGTGCTAAATACGTCAAACTTGGCTCTTTTGTATTTGTAAGACTCACACCCAAGAATATTATTATTTATTGTTCTTTTATTCTTTATTTACGAATTCCATTTTAGGTTGTGATCAAACATAAGACGCGAGCAACGCACAATGTAAATTCACAATCAACAAGTTTTCAAAAAACTCTGGTAAACTCCTTTTTATTCTCTACCGTTCGAAGCCCGTCTTCTCCCAATTGTAGCTTGTTTTAAACAAATACCATGTCACTGTGGTGGAATTTTATTTATAAAATATGGTACAAATATCACAACGCCGTCGTAGCTTACAAATTTTCGGCATTTTTGGGGCCTATATTTTCTCCGAAATTCCTGCGACGCCTACACTATCAGGGGCGGCAACACGTGGTACGCACTATACGCGGCAACTGGAGCCGCAGCTGGAGCAAGGATTGGAGCCGCTAGCGGAGCCGCAACCGCGTGATTGACAACGTTGGCGGTATACGAAGACGCGTATGGTACGGAGTAGGCGGCAGGAATCGCTGCAGGGACTGCGGTTATTACGCCTCCGGTGCAGCAGGAGATCGCCATAGTGACGAAGAGGAAGATTCCCTAAACGCAAATACAACGTTAAAATATTGGAAAAACCATAAAAGAAATAAAGCATCTCATTTGACAGAAATTTTAGCCTTCAGTTGAGCTGAGTTGAGTTTGCTTCTCTAGTGAAATTTGACAAATCGTATAATATACCTTTTACTATTATTATAGAGCATTTATTGTCATAAAAGAACGAACATAGAAATTTCAATACATCTTACAAAGGCAATAAATACAGTTATCATTTCACAAGAGTAACCTCGAAGGTGAAAAGAAGATCACACATACTGAATACTTCCCCAGGATTCTATTAACTATACTATAAACATTTTGGACAATCTTATACTACACCAAATTCTAGCCTTGAACACATTTTTTAAAAACTAAACTTAGAAAATTCTAAGCAGCGATAAGTCGACTGACTGACTTGGCGCAAAATATTTTGCAATCGATACATTCTCTAAACCTTCAGTTTATAATAAATGCCTTCTGATTATCGGAAGTGTAATTGCAAATAATGAAGGACACATTGAACATTTATGAGAATTTTTTTTTTACTGTTTAAAAATAACAAAGTTGCAAATTCATTTTTGAATTTTTTAAATAATCGCACTTTTTGCACAAAATTTTTCAAATTTGGTATGTTACTTTTCGTGCGTTTGATACTTCATAATTTTTTTGCGCCTTAGTGTATGCAGATTTTTAATAAAGATATCACTTCTTACACCTCTTTTGCACAAAAATACTTTTTAAATTTCACCCCCAGTCGGCATTTTCTAGAAATTTTCAGTACATTATTACGTAATTACATTACATTACATTATTACGTATTCAGTACATTATTACGTAAATAAAATTTCATTTTTTTGTGGCATCAATTAACATCATCAAAATCAACAAAATACTAAAAACGCTGTCAAGGTCTGTACTACCGTACTAGCTCATTATGTAACCAAAAAGCTACTTACGAAAGTTTTGAAAGCCATTGCTAATCACAATAGGCGTTGTGGAGGTACTGAATCTGATGCGCTGGGGTCTTTATTTTATATTAATGTTAACGGAAGTTGAATTTGGAGGGGACCAATGACCAATAATAATTATATCATTCTTTCGTACATCGATCAATCGATAGCGAAATATCTTCGCCGTTTTCTTCCAGAATATTAATCGACGAATTTCATGCATCTAGGTAGCTCATTGGTATTCGTTGAAGCGACTACCACGACATGCACCGATAAAAATCAATTGTCCACCGAATTTAGTTCGATTGCGTGCTGTTCAATTTGAACATGATTATATAAGAAATATTTTCTTGCCGGTACATTGTTTTCTTTTAAATAGGATCAATGAATAATTAAGGGGGTTATTCTTGGGTCCATTTTAAAAAGAAAACTTCATGTGAAAATATGTAAAAAACGTCTGAATATCCAGGTTGACGTAGTATGCACTGATTTTGCTAAAGCATTTGACCGTGTGTGCGAGGATGTTCTTCTGCGGAAGCTGTCGGGGTTTGGTCTCTCGGGGGATCTTCTGAGTCTCTCAAGTTCACATTTAAGCTCCCGGAAACAATATGTGGTTTACAGGGGCGCCTCTTCGGAGCCCTTTGCAGCTCACTCGGGGCGTATCAATATAAAATGAAAGAAATCATAATAGAAATAAAGGATCTTGGTGAACTTTTTGATTCCGGATTAAAATTTAATAAACATATAGACAGCATAACAAAAAAAAGTTACAAAATGTTAGGCTTTGTGGTTCGAAATTCTTCCGGTTTTCAAAATAATGCATATTATAACAAGTATGATATTTATTATTTTGATGTACCCTATGTTGTTTTGACTGAGGAGTTTAGTGTTTGCACGCTTGAAAAAAGGAGGAAAATTGATGAAGCTATATTTTTTTATAAGCTAGTTTGGGGCAGAATAGATTGTTCTTTTCTAATTAGTGAATTAAGATTTATTGTGCCTACATATGTAACAAGGAATAATATTACATTTGAACTTCCTAGAGCTTACACTAGTCTAGTACAAAATAATATATTGTACAGAGTGTGTAACTTAATAAATAGTGAACTGCGTGATGTGGACATTTTTCACGTGCCACTGGTTGTCTATGAACAACTAACATTTTGGTTAATCAGGTCGCCACTGCAAGAAAATATCTGTCTAAAACAAAATATCTAGTTTTTAGTTACTAATTAACGTCCTTCAGAAAAAAATATTTGAAGACTGATCTTTTTACTTTTACAGTTTTAATCAAATACCATAACATCCTAACAACAAGATAAATAATAAACGATTCTTAAGTTCTTGCAAGTGTCCACCTTGAAGGATACATGCTTCAGCCCTTTCCTCATATCGTCGCGCACTCTTTGAAGTATACCTTCAGTGTTTGTTATTAAATTGCAGGAATCCGTCAGCTCTTTTACAATGTTAACTGAGTGTGATAAACCAGACTCTTAAGATGCTTCAAAAGAAAAAAATCAAACTATTTAAATTTGGTGACCTAGAGGGGCATGGTTGAAGTTCGCTGTCATCTACTCGTCGGTTAATAAATGTATGATTTAAATATTCTCTTATTCCAACATTGTTACGAGCAGGCGCGACGTCACGCATGAACCATAGTAAATATGGTAATAATAGCAATATTGGCAAATCCTCTTCCAAGAACCGGTGATAATTATGGCCACTTAGCCATGCTGACAGAAACAAGGGCCCAATTAAGTAATTTTCAACAATTCCAGCCCAAACATTTACATAAAACTCTTTTTGATGTTTAAATTCTGCATGGGTGTTTTCGTAGGTCCAAATATGGTTGTCATGGAAATTTCTGAATGCATTTCTGGAAAATTTAGCAGTATTTGTACGTAGCATTTCTTGGTCACACAAAGGATAATAAGCAATTTTATTCAAAAACCATTGACAAAAATTAATACCCAAAATCTCTTGGCTTCGTTGAATGTGATACGGGTCCAATTTTTTATTAAATTTTCCAAATCAAGACGAGATATTCATATTATTTCCTATACTATACTATATTTAAAAGCATTGGAAAGACTGCTGTCCTTAGAAATTCACTTCTGACACAGAGCGGCCGGTAAATCAAGGATGGATCGGGTAAACAACCAACGAATAAGGGTAATCATGGACGTGCAGAAGACCATCCATGAAGAAATGGACCAACGAAAACTTATATGGTATGTCCACGTAGAGAGAATAGGTGAAGAAAGATTATCAAAGAACATTCTAAAAGGGACATCCACAGAAAGAAGGAAAAAGGGAAGACCTAAGATCACGTGGATATGTCAGAAAGGAACTTTCAACCAGGAGACTGGGAAGATCGAAAGGAATGGAAACTGGGAACCGGAAAGCGTAGGACGCTATAGAACCGGAGATATACATATATTTTACACTTCAATTACATCATTAACGCAGTCATTCTAACTGCTATCTGGTATTAATTCATACCTAGTTCATTATAATTAATATATGGATAATTATTATATGGATTTTTCAATGACCACGTCTATGAAATAAGTTTTAGGACTTTAACTAGTTGCTTTTTGCTGTAGATCATTGCTATTTTTTTAGCTAAACTTATCTTTGGAAATTCGGAAAAAGAGATTTCTTAATGTTTCTTGCTGAAAGTAGCAGAACGTTTGGCGACCACCTTCCCTCGAGCAACGGTGTACAATGGATGTTCTTATTCCTCTTCCTCCTTTTCGAACCAAGTCTCGTCCAAATAATACATGCAGTATATATGAGCTACTGCCTAAAATTTGTAAATTATTTTCTGTACTGACCCTATAAAATGAATAGAATTCTGGATTTATCGAACTTCCAAGCACATTTTTTGGACATAACATTAATTTTCTGCCACAAAATTAAGACTACTAGTTTATTTTCTTATTCGGTTATTGAAGAGAAAATTTTTCGGTATAGCCTGATAGTGCATGATACTTCGTGGCATTTATTATTCTATAGATCTTAAAAAGTTATAAAGTCCTATCAAGCTGAAATACCACAGCAAACGATAAAAGAACAATTTAGAACGAGAAAACAAGTTGTTTCACGAATTATACAAAACTTTCGTCGCCGTGAAAGCATTACGAGCTTGGAGCGACTGAGAAGAAAAAGCAAAAACTGCGAAGCACGAATATCGGAGAATAAAAAAATGAGTCTAGGCGTTTGATGGAAGCCGGACTCTCTCCAGATGCCTGTCTGTTGTTTGCTACTCGCCATTGTAGTCGAAATTTAATATCTTCGATCGTGATGGTGAGCATTTCATATGTCGTCCTGATAAGAAACACAGAGGGACCAACACAAGGAGTACTGGCACGAATACAAAAACACATTGTAAAAATGAACACCACCAGAAGAAGACTGGAATACGTTGGACATATTAGGAAGACAGAAAGTAAATAAGGCCTTTTCAAATCTGTCCTCCAAGCGAAAGTCTATGGTAAAAGAAAACCTGGAACCAGAAAAATATCATAGCTCCAAAACTTAAGAACATTGTTCTCATAAACAGCAAGCCAATTATTTAGAGCAGCTTTGTACAAAGTCGTTATAACTAGGTCGATCGCACAGTCGGTTTGGCATTCGTAACAACAAATCGACTATAAGAGCTCAGCTTCATATAATCGAGAATTTAGTAGAAGGAATCGATCAAGGTGTTAAAACCAATTTGGACTATGTGTGACCTGAGCAAGGCGTTCGATTGTGTATCGAGTGATGTTCTACTACAAAATCTTGAGTTTTAGGGAGTTCATCATATTTGATTGGAAAAACTCATTGCTTTTATCAATCAACAACGGAGTTCCCCAAGAATCCATTTTGGGACCGGTTCTGTTCATTGCGTAATGACTTTCTCACTGCTGTCCAGAATAGATACTCTGCTTCGGTGCGACAATAAAGATAATTTGGCCAAATACGATAAAAAATCAGAAGCGGGAAAGCTTCCTGGGGTCATGGATTCTTATTGAATATCTCGTTTCCAGATGATCTGCTTAGATATTTGTGCTAAGGAAACTAAGAAAGTGTCTTACTGATGTTGTATTTAAGACTGTTTATTATGCTCTAATCCAGGGTCGAATTAATATAGTATTTTGATACTTACTCTTACAAAGTATTCTTACAAAAACCGACAATAAGAGACATTCCCGCTGTTTCAATATTCTCCAAGGCAAAGTCTATGGTAAAAGAGGAACAACATCCCAATTATTTAGAGCAGGCTTGAAGAAAGTCGTTATAGCTGGGTTAAGCATCTGAAGAAGAAGAATACTCTTTATGTTTTCTTTTCTTTTGCGTAGAAAAATTTGTTAGCGCAAACACAGTTCACACAAATATTTATCTAGTGAATAACATATTCCCATATGGTATTAGGATTTACTGCTTTTCAATCCTGAAGGAATCTATATCTTTTGTTCTCAATTTCCTTCGAATGTGGTATCACGTTCAACTACATTTTAAATTGTTCGTGGGGTCACTTTAGGTTACTAAAACACAAACAATATTATTCTAAAAATATATTTATTTGTAATTCTCCTATAGCGTTAAAATAATACAACGCATTTCACATTCAGTCTAGGAAACATACTAATTGACGTCTAAAATGTCTTATCTCCACAATGGGGCACTGTGCAACGATGGTGCGTAACCTACCGGAACGGGATGGGCCAGTGGCGCCGGAACAAGGGGGGCCAGTGGCGCCGGAACAAGGGGGGCCACTTTCGAAACTACCGGAGTTAGCGCGTGCTGATGTACGAAGGGAGCAGGAGCTGGGAATACCGGCCCGGCCGGCAGTACCGCCCTTTGGACTATAGCGGGCGTTCCCGGAAGTACTCCAGCTGCGTATGGCGCGTCGAACACGTGCAAGTTGCGCGCGAAGGTGCTGACTTGTGCGGAAAACGGTAAAACGCTGGGTGGGGCGACTTGGGTGTAGCGTACTGCTGGAACTGCGTGAACTGCTGGTACCGCTGGTACTGCGTGGAGATGAGCGTGGGGCGCTGCGTGGAGGTGAGCGTGAGGCGCTGCGTGCAGTTGGGCGTATGGAGCTGCGTGGAGGTGAGCATGAGGCGCTGTGTGCAGGTGAGCATATGGAGCTGCGTGGAGATGAGCGTGCGCAGCTGGAAGTGCGTGTACGGCTGTAGGTATGACGCTCGATTCAAGGGCGGAAGAGAATACCACGAGCAGAAGTACCACAATCTGTAAACAAACATTTATTAAAATAAAATTCTCAAAATTTTTGCCTATTAAATTATAATAAGCATTTTCATTGTTACATTGTTTATAGGATTTAAGGATATCGCTAATATTCTTCATTTATTAGAAACGGAAACTGAACTTGAACAACTACAAAGAGTTATTGATTTAAATGAATTTAGGACTTAAATTAAGACGACCAAGCAAGTTCTGGAGATTTTGCATTTTAACGTGTGTGGGGCTCCCACACTTTGATGAGGTTTTGATATATTTCCAAGTAAACAATTTTTCTCCAGATCAGTTTTGTCTTTCTTTAAATTAGATTTTTCTAAATATAATATATCCGATATCAGATCACACTTAATTTCTAGAAAAAAAAATTGTCGCGCATCTTGATCTAGATAGCTTTACCACTTTTTAGGTCACATACATTGAAATATTTTGAATCGAGACCTAGCTAATCCCACCAATCACTTGACCGTCCTTATGTCCGTAGGATTTTACTGCAGTGTAAATAAACGGTCTCTGAAACATGTCTAGCACTAGTAGGAAAATTCTTTCATGGGCCTATGATAAACGCCAGAGCCTTTGGCTAACCTATCAAGTAACTGGTGAACGGGTAATTTTAAAAACAAATGTACAGAGTGGCCCGTTTAAGAGGGGCTTATACTTTATCTCGAAAAAAAATACAAAAGTTACTTCTATTACAATAATTTTTTTATTTTCCTAATAGTCACTTTTTTATATACAGGTTGGTCAAACAAAGTTTCATTTTTTAAATAGAACTTTCTACATTTTATTTCATTTTTGGACAGTCCTTTCAAAGACAAATTCAACGATATGCATCGTTTCGAACTTATTAGCGATCATCTTCAGAATTCAGGTTATGTTTAAAGCATCATTGTTGGGTTGCTTATTAAATTTAAAAAAAAATTCCGTCTATTATTTTTACGAAAATAATGAATTTCTTTAGGCGTTGATCAAATTTAAAATAATTTCTTAAAATACGCAAAATGATACTTTTCTCTCAATTTTCTTAAATTTTGTTATTTTTTGATGCTTTCTCTGCCTTTAACATACGAGAGGAGATTTAGAGTTGTTAAGGTGAAGTTTTGTGAATTAAATGCGAAATATAGTTGAAAGTCGTCACCAAATTGATGCGAGGTGAGATAAGATAAGGTGTAGAGCGAGAACAATAATGGTCCCAAAACCCTTGAAGAGAATTTAAGTTTGGTACACAAAATATTATGATCGAGAGTGTCAAATGCTCTGCTATAATCAAGAAGAACCAGGCAACTACATGTGCGTTCATCCGCGCCAACGTCCAGTTACCGGAAAATTTGAGGGAGGAGATACTATGATTAACGATGTAATAGATAAGGGGTTATTGAAACAATATTTTGACGGTCAAGTCCATCGACCTCATTGGTAATAGAGCGTAGTGGTGCTATAATTTGTTCAACTTCTCTGAACCTCTGAAAACTGAAAGTTATTATGGGCATAAATTGAGACACTTTTAACATAGCGGTCGACGCATGTATTGTACGCTGCTGCATTAGCCACGAGCACGCCTCCTAGCAAAAACCTATTAAACTCATCAGGAGTTCCAAAATCAAAACAATCAAAAAAGATTAATATGATACATTGTACGTTGATACATATTTCTTATATTTCGGTTGGATGGCTTGGTTATAATAGAGTTCTTGTATGGAATATGTTTATCAAACAAATGATTGACTGGATTTTTAAAAAATCGATGATGGTGATGTCCCTGTACGTACTGAACATCGGGATCAAGACAGGCTGTCACCTTAAGTTTCTAAATCTTTAATTCATCATTTTCTGTATATTCCTTTTATGACTAATCACTCGCATTTTTCAAAGTACAGGGTGTAGAGGCATAATCCGAAATATATCATAATATCCCATGAAATTTGGATGACGAGGATTATTACAACTGTTTTTTTTAATAATCTTATGATCTTCGTTTTGGAAGTTCAATATGGTAAAAGTAACATGCCTTGATGTAGTGATGCATACCAGCTAGAACTTCACTAAACTAAACGTATCATAAGGGCGCGAGGGTATCAAAAGGGAGTTTAGCACTTAACTTACCTTATGAGACGACATTTTCAGAATGGATGCGCGTATGTTACAAATGGTGAAACCGAATAGACTGATTCCATTCGTTGATAAAAATTCGTTTATATAGTGACAGATCGACTGTCGCCTTGCGCGAAACAAATTTCGACACATTTCGTACGACACGATCAGAGAAATCGAAACTGTTCTATGTAAGCCCGGTGTATGCGAAATACGTGATACGTTTTTGGGCGTATTGATTAGGAATTTACGCTTCCTTTCAAGTGTTCTGTGGCAATTTTGTTGTTGTATAACAATGACAATCCGGTTAGGGGAATCCATACTTATTTCAACATTTACGATAACTACATCACCTAACCAAAACTAACCAAAATCTTTGAGGAAGATCCATCCATCTTGTCCATGTTTTACCCTCTAGGCGGATAGAGTTCATATTTCAGCCGATGGATCTAGCTGTAGTGCATCTGAGGAGTTTTTAAAGGTACTCTCCTTGTTTGTGTGAAAAAAGTACAGTATTCTTTTTCTTATTATTCTATAATAAAACGGTGAACAAGTTTTTGTTGAGCTTTCGATATTTTGATGGTTAGTAGGTTGAAAAGTTCCACTTGACTGAAAAAATATTTTTTATTTTCTTATTTTATATATACAGCGTGGTTTGTAATTAACCATCAATAATTAAGATAGCGATTTTTGAATCCATTTTAAAAAGAAAACATCTTATGAACATATGTCCTAAGCGCCTTAACTTTTGAGATATAGGATAGTACATTTTTCAAAAATAGAATATATTTTAGAATATCTGTAATACCACTTTAAAAATTTTAATGAAATTTGGCATAAATGTACTTCAAGAGGCATTATTTTTGACACTTGTATGGTACGCTACTGATTTCTCTTAAAACAAAAATTACTCTTACAATCTCCAATCATTTCTAAAGAAATTTAATTTCTTGGTTTTTTTCAATCCTGAGTTCTCCTCTGCATAGTCATAAAAAATGCATTTTTCTTCTGAATTTCGGTGATCTAGACGAATTTTGGATAGGTCAAATTTATTTTTAGCTAGTTCGAAATTATTTAAATTGGTGCTTCCCTATCCTTCCTTCAAAAGTTTTAGACAGAAATCGATTGAGAATAATCCAAAGTTATTGGGAAACATCAATTGTTCAGAATAGTCGTTTCACCATTATTTATAGATGTTTTAATTTTAATTAATATAATATTAATTCAATTATTACATTTGATAAAGGCACGGTATATTCACGAAATATATAATTTCGTGAAAATCTGAACTTTTACTTTTTATTTCTTTTAATTTTAATTACTCGCTCAGATCTAGGTGCCACTGTTACGCAATTTAATTCGTTTTGAGTTTTAAAAAAGTGAAGTTTGATTTTTGCAAATTGTGTGATTAAAACCCTGTTTTAAAATCTTGATTCATCTGAAGTAATTTTAGATTATCGAGACCTTTGGCCATTGTGAAATTGAAAATTTTGATTTTTTCGCAAGTTAAAGCGCTACGTCGCAGATTTTTGAAACACTGTAGTTACAGCGAATGGAGAGTCAATTTGGATAATACTTTTTGCTAATATTTGGATTTACAAATGATTTAGTTGATCCAGATCTATTAGTAGTTTTATATTGTTCTGGAAGGTTTATGTGATACAGTCCACTAGAGTTAGTCATGTTACTAAGATTGGTTTTGATCTGGATGTTTATTTGAAAATTTATGGGACCTTCATGGGATGCACTCAAATTGCTATCTGAATTTTGGAAAACCGGCGAGTCAGTGTGGTAAGTTTCCGGATGGTAATGATGATGAAATCTGCATTCTCAGAATAATATACCACGTCCGTGTTATATCACTCTTAGACTTTTAGAGTTTGTAGTGTTTGAGCCTGTCCGAAGGAATTCGGTACATTCTACGGTGGTTTAGGTCTGACATTCGAAGTACTTAATGGTTGAGATGGGGATAATGGTTAATTCTGATTAGGTCTACAGACATTTACTGTTTGGGTAAATTTGGTTAGGTCTGCCAAACAAATCAGAATTGGTAGGGAATCTTTGTGGTATACTATTCAAGTAACTTGAAGCTGTGCTCGAAAACTTGAAAAATTAAGCCTAGATGCGAAATTATAAAGTGGAATATCAATCTTTTTTTTTGGAACTATTAAATAATAAACAATAACTACTCTATAAAGAACAACTCGTGCTTAAAAATACCGCTGAAAAATAGAAAAAGTGACATTTTAATCTTAACTGAAAAGATGAAATATTGAATTTTAAATAAACATTGGAATAAGATACATGATGTCCTTAATTTTTGTAAGTGAGAAAGTGCAATTATTTTTTTGATATCTCTTGAAATAAAGTCAGGAAAAAAATCCAATATGTCAGTGTCTTGGACACTATCTAGGAGATAAAATATTTTCTTCTACTTTCTTAGCTGCTTAAACAGTTTTGTCGCCTTCCAGCAAAAGTGTGTCGAAGTGACCCATAAAAGTTTTACGGTTGAAATAACTATTATAATCTAGGGTCTTTTCTAGAAAAAAGGGAACATTTATTCGAAATTGGCATACCATTGGAGACTTGCAGATGTGGGTAGGATAATTTAAACAGAAAAAAAACGAAGAAATCAGGTAAAAAAGGGCGGCTTTTTTATTCCCACAGGTTTTACATGTGACGTGGCATTAAACGTCCTTCATCCGAATATGTTGTTGACCAGGGAGTTTGTGCAAGCCACTTGCATAAACGACAGCGAGAATCCGATGTTCATGGTGTCGTTAACTTCGTCGCCGTTAGTAACGACGTATAGAGCAAACGGTTTGGTATAACCTAAAATGAAATCAAATTAACCATTTCAACACATCGAATAATAATAGTAATAATAGTTTATTTATTATTAATATACAATGTATTATATGAAAGAAATAATCAGAAGAAAAAATCAAACAAACTTCCCCAATATTGCAATATTACTAAATTAAAAAAAAAATACTTTAACCTCACATCTCTGTTACTTGCAAATTGCGGTCCGTTTTGAAGAGTTTATAGAATTAATGTATAACTTGTGCAGTTTAAAATATCAAGTTCGGGGTTACCAAAATTGGAAATAAAATGGAAAGATAGTGTTATTTGATCAATGTCAATGTCAGTTAAGGATATTGAATATGTGCAAAATAGTGCTTATGTTTTTATACCAATCATCAGTATTTTTTTGTATTAGTGCTTAGCAACTAATGCTTCAGTTTTACTTTAAGTAGTTTCAAATTAGTATTGATTTTTATTTCGCGTGAAATATTATCTATTATCTATTACAACTCTATTAAAAAAACTGTTAGTAATGTTTTTTATATAATTGTAAACATTGTTATATAATTATCATGGGCGATCATTATATAAAATCTATTGGATACAATCCCAGATAACATCACAAACATCAAAATATTGTGAAAATTCAATAGCTGCTTGACTGAAAAAATTATAGAATAGAATAGAATCTGTCAAATATTAGTTATTCTTTTAGAGTTTAGTTCAAGATCTAGTATCTTACTCTATTTTTAAGATATTTTAGGTTAGGTTGTTGTATATTTTTGCTATATTATATACTTACAATTTTTTCATATCTACAAAATGTGTTTTATTAATTATATCAATCGGCAGTCCTTCTCTTTTACCATCAAAAGCAAAATTAAGGACTAAATATTAATTGGAAAAACTTGTGCATTTCAAATATCGCCTGCTACTCCAGTTATGACTTCACCAACCATACCCAATGAGTTAATTCCATCGTACGCGAGTACCAAATATTGGGATAGAATCTTTGTAGTCGTACAACTAATTGGATTACTGGACATTACCTTTAATTTTATTTTATCATAAGCTATTGGAAATAACTTAATAATTAAGTAAGATCCAACGGTATATCAATATAACATTCTATATCCTCACAGTCGGATATACTAACGACGTCTCAACTAGTATAACTGGATATCCTTAGCATATCCTAACAAACATCCTACGGACATACGTTTTTGTTGTTTTACGGACGTCCTTGTGCTATATGGGATTGTTTTATAAACTTTTCCGTATTTATAAGCGCCATATTAACGGTTATCAGCCATTTTAAAAATAAAAGAAATATATTAAAAGTTGTTATATGGTAAGGTATACGACAATTGTCAGCTCATTTGTGAGACTTGAGAATAAACATTTTACTTACTAACGACATCATCAAACGCGAGTCCACAGAAGCGGTCGGAGTTGACGGCTGTGCCATTGACGTAGTAAGGGTTGGGAATTACTACGAAATCGCTATTGCAATCTCCGTCTGTTAAGGCACCAATGCCCACGTTGTTGGCGTTGCCAGACACCATGAAGTTATTGGAACTCCACTGTATGCCGCAATATCCGGGTAACATGGCGATGCATATACCGTAGTTTTCGAGTATCTTAAAACCACAATTTTTAACTGCGAAGTAGTAGCGGTAGTTTCGCACTACCACGGCTACGCAACAAATTGCAAATATTATTTTCAATGTCGCCCATTGGGTGTTAAAATGTCGGGGAAAGGTTTTGGTATCGATGTTGATTCAAAAAATCAAGAATTTCCACCTTGATCAAAAAGTTCCCGGAATTTATTTAGAAAATTAAAAATACAAGTTTATTCATCTAGATCTATATTGTCATCTTCAAAGTAGTCCAGTTCAGTTTGTTATAAATATGTGAATGAAAAGCAAGAAATTTGTCAAAAGTTACTCCTAAATTCTTAACATCGGTATTGAGTTTGTGGTTATGATCCATCAATACACTAATCAAGTGAAAATTGAAGTTTAAGTTTTAAGTTTTAAGTTCTCCATAGAAAAGGACATATAAATTTGGGAATCGTCCGCATATTTGATACACTCATTCATATCTGTTATATAAAGACTAAACAATAAAGGTCCCAAAATCGAACCTTGCGGCATTCCAGTAGCGATCGGAGTATAGCTAGATTTTTCTAGATTAAATTGCTTTCTAAGTTCAACAAAATGCGATCTATTGCTCAGATATTGCTCCATGAACTTAACTAACACACCTAATCAACTAAAATAATGAAGTTTTGGCAACAATATATTGTGATTAATGGTGTCCAATGATTTACTAAAATCCAGAAGAGCCAAACAGGTAGCATCTCTTATCTTCATTGTAATTCAATAACTTAGCTAGACCGGTAGTTGCAATAAAATGTGGTCTAAACCCGGATTGACAGTCTTGAATGATTTTGATCAAATTTACAGAATTAGACATTTGTTGGTAGAAGTGCTTCTCTATTATTTTTGAAAAAACTGGAAGTATACTGATCGTTCTTAGATCTTTTTATTCACTGGGAATTGATATTTTAGCAAATGGTTTTATAACGGCCTTTTTGCCTCACAGTGGCAAAATAATTATTCAAGATATAGGCTGTTAATAATATGCATTAAAGGATTTATGCATTGTGAAAAACAGAGCTTGATATCTTTTATAGAAAATTTAGATTTAGATAGATGGACTTTGGGGTTGTAACAGTTTATTGTAGCAATAAAAACACTATCAACCACTTGAATGCTAGATGCAAAATATTTATTAAGTACTTCGGGAGTACAAAATTCCTCCTAGAGATCACATAGGTGATTTCGAGTAAAATTATGGTCAGTTGTGTTTTGTGAAACTGGCCCTGGTCATATATTGAACTCGAATCAGAAGAATGATTCCAGGTTATTCCTGGAACGTATTATTTATAATACCGAAAATAATTTTATACTGTTAAGTATAATAATACATATTTAAAAATGATAATCAGAAAAGATTTAAAAACTGAACATATCTTTAAATCTCTCTAAATCAGTATTCATATACATGGTGTTCAATTCAATACTTGTTCAATCTAGAAGAGATAAGGCATTGTAGCCTCATAGACAGTCCACCCTGTCATAATAGGCTATCTTTAATATTAAGCACTTAAAATGTTTTCTTAGTGTGTAGAAATCGTTATAAGTTCAATAATGTGGAAACGTGTCAATTCAAAATAACCAAAACTGGCACTGTAAATATCAAAGGAATGACCAAATTTTATCGCTTCTCTCTGGGTGCGTTTTTCTCTGACAAAACACTTACCAACTCCCGTGTCCCGGCAACTCCAGTGTTTGGATCGATGACATTCGTAGTGGTACCATAGTTAAAACTGTTCACAGTCCCCGACTCCGTGGTATAGTACATTAAGCAACCGACTGGAGCTTGGGAAAATATACAAATATATGGAATATGGTTGCACTAGAGGTTCAAATTTCAATAAATATTGGTTGGAAAATCCGCATTTTTTCAAAGAAACAATTACGGAACTAAATAAATGAAAAGAAACTTAAGCACTAAACTCGAGTTATACCTTCCAAAATGAAGAATCTACTTAACATAAGTGTTTAAAACATGCTCCATCTCTGTTTAAAGCTTTAATGTGCTACAAGGGTCTTAAGAGAATTTTGGAACCCTTTTTGGTCAGTTCTTTCTTTTCTCTGGTCCTGACAATGTTGTACCAAGTTTTATATGTTGAATATAGCTTCCCTTGTTCCAAAACCATTTTTAAACCCGTACTGACAGTTGCCGCCATTTTTTATAGTCCCTACTATGCAAAATTTACAAGAAAGCTTCAGAAAATGGCTTATTAGGCTTATGAAAGTAGAACGAAGTAAACAAATGTTGTTAAAGAGTTTGGTCATTATTTTTATATATTCTGCTCATTAATAAATCGGAACCTGTCAGAAAACACATTATCTGGGCCTTCATAAGCTTTACAGCGTGTCTGATTTCACTTGCCGATATACTTGGAAGGTCAGCTCTTATGATTGAACCGCTGGGTTGTTTCGTCTGTTGCCAGTAAAAAAATCAGTTGCGCATACTTTCCAGATTTCTGATATTCCGTCTAAATCTGTTATTATTTTATTATTTTAACACACGTCTCCCAAAAAAGTGCTAAAAACATCCCCACACTTGCCACCGCAGTCTTTCCTATTCAAAACCTTACTGGGCACATATCAAAAATTCTTAAAATCAGATTTATCACCAAAAATCTGTCAACATTTTCGATCCGACAAAATTACGATTCAGATACCAGGAGATGCCCCTCCTTTAGCTCCGCTCCCTGTCAAACAATATATAAGCAGGTAGGCAGGAGTAGAATGATATCCTGTTTGAGTTAAGTTCTGAATGGTGATTGACGAATGATGTAAACATAATTGCTGACAACTTTTTGCTTCAGTCAATTGTTTCGAAAAGAGTGGCTTCTTGGCTATAAATGAGATACCTGTTTTACTCCCGCATAAAGCAAGAACTATCTGAATAAACTATCCTATGGATAGTACCAATATATCACCATTATGACCGCTACCTTCGTGGATATAATAGTAATAATTTGAAAACACAGTTTATCTGAACCTCAAATATGCAATTAGGCTAGTATCCCAATAGCCGAGAAACGAGCCAATTTAGAAGAAAATACCATCACTTTTTCTGAACTTGAAACCAGTTGAACCACAGTTGATACTTAAGATTACTGACACAAGACGTTCAAATCTCATAATTGAGGCAGCACGAGACAGAATTTGAACCGATATTCCTAATTTAATAAAGAAATATAATTGCGTAGGCTTTCACGGCCGGCGTCATAATCTGTGAGATTTTCCGGGATGTTAGGCCGTGGTCCATTGGTTTTGCTACCAAAGCTTTCAGCTGCTACTGCGGCAGCCATTTTCTTGTATCGGTACAGTACCGATACAGTCGTCACGCTACAATCTACATTCCACTGAAGATGGCTGCCGCAGTAGCAGCTGAAAAGTTTTGGTAGCGAAACCAATGGACCACGGCCTAACAGCCTGAAAAATCTCACAGATTAATAAAGAAACTTGGTAAAGACTACAATTCTGAGGATTGACTTGTCCAAGAAATGTTCTTGCTTCTGTGATTGTTGCTCGTGGGCAAATGAAAGAATGCTACGAAAATCTGGAACTACAAAGACAATTGTTCGATGATTTGTAGCTACTTAAAAAGTGTGGGACTTCTACTAGGTCAGTAGTTTAATTAGCTTTTGGTGTGAGTGGGACAGTAGAAACAGCAATATTGAGTGAAAAGAGTTGGCCAAAATGGCTTAATTTAACTCCCGAATCAAAAAATATTCTTCACATATTGTTCATCCACGAAAAATTGTCTTATAACTAGTAGAACTCATGAGGCAGTACATTAAAGCTTTAAAGATAGAGCATGTTTGAAATATCTATGTTTAAAAATTTCCCGCACCTCAAATAAGGCGATTAATGGAAGATCAAATTTTTACACTCATATCTAGACTACTTTCCCGAAAATCTTGGAGCTGTGAGTGAAGAGCGAGGTAAGAGTTCCACCAAGATATAAAAAATGGAAGGCAGATATGAGGGTCGATGGAACTTTGCAATAATGGCAGGTTACTGCTGGTCATTAAAAAATAAAAAAAAAAAAATTGGCCTTAGCTATTGTTTGAGACTGCATTATTTCATTTAAATGTTTTTTGTTCTCGTACTAATAAAAACAATATTTAAATCACCCGAGATTTTCATTCATGAACTCTTCTAATGTCGATAAAAAAACCTTTGAAATCAATTTTCAAAAGTTTAAAAATGTTTGGGCTGGGTGATTGGTCTATTCCGAGCTGTATTCAAGAATCAAGACTTTTCTCCCGTTTCAACCAAAACTGAAATAATAGGGTGACACTTCCACCCTCATGAAAAATTTCTCAACTAATCTACAAAACGAGGGACATTTGTAGGAGTCTAGACACCGTCCATTCGATACTAACCTCTGGTCGGACAGGCGCATGCGATTTGAATAACCCTGAATGCCCAGAGCCTGTTGAACGCGATAGCGCCGTTTGTGGTGATCGTTAATTGTACGCTGTTGTTTCCATTGAAGTCGACGTAAATGTGTTGTCCGGTATTTTCACCGCAAATTATTGGTACGGGACCGGCAGCTCCGCTGACTATGAGAGCGTCCGTCGTACAAACTCCCGTAGGATCTGGCTGAGCCAACGACAGGGCCAAAAAGTCAATGCGGGCCTGCAACACGAAATTTCGAAATAATGTAGCGCCTAATAGACAACTGAGGGACCTGCTATTTTTGCGCTCGTATGTCGGCGTATTGGCGGCACACCATGACATCATTACAGCAGGTTGGCCTGTATGTCAACCCTTAAGCTCATTTCGTGTACCACAGTACGACGACAAAATATTGTTATAATGATTATCGCTTAACGAGAACAAAAATATTAAAAATAAAAAAAAAGTATATTAAACATTTATCGATAATTACTAAGAAAATTGATGTGTCGTTTAAGATAATGTATTAGGTGTGTATAAGAATGAAGCCAGAGAACTACGGCATAGTTGAGGATTCTTTTCAACAAGTGCCCTTTCTGTCAGTTTCGGAGAATCTGGTACCAAAACTTCTCATTTTAATTGAATATATTTTCTCTTATAACGGTCAAATTTTTGAACAAACGTCGGGAACAGCTATGGGTTCTCCATTCTCACCAGTCATCGCGAACATATTTATGGAAGCCTATTAACCTTTTTTATTTGCCCTCAGGGCCTAGAATCCATCCAAAATTGTCTTAGCTATTTTAACTCTATACACCCGAACATATGTTTTACAATAGGATTAAAAACTAATAATAACCACCCTAGATATTCTATTAGATTATTAGATATTCTTAGCAATAGAAAATCATTGCGTATTTCTGTTTATAGAAAACCTACGCACGCCACCATCCAGCCCAAAAATCATCGGTCATCGACTCTTTTGTTTACAGAGCTTGTTCACATCTGCTCTTCTCCCTAACTCTCACATTGGAGAGATTAAATGTTCCTGCACAAAATACACTTCACCACAAGCTTCCAAATACAACCTTGCCTTGAGAATAATAGATGGGGGAGACTGGAACCTGTGGTGGAAGATCAACAAACCTACGTTTATAACCACTACTGCACCACAACTTTATTTAGAACACTGGACACGTATTTCGCCAACCAAGTTGGCATCATCGGCAGATGATAGTTTACATCATCTGCCGCTTGAAGACGGAAGACCTCCAATGCAATGCCTGAGTAAATGATGATTTGGGCAGCATTATTTTCCTTTATTTATTCTCTAGCCTAAAAGATCCAATTATGCACTAATCAACCGTGAGGACAGTCAGTAAGACTTCAACTTAATTAACCAACCACTCTTATGGATTATTTCAGACATTCTTAGGTAGTATCAATAAGGCTTCAGGATGTGTTTTGCAGCTATGGAATGCAGCACGCTGATTAACCATAACATTGTATAAGTTAAGAAGTACCTACCTGACAAAAATCTGTGCTGCAAGGTTGAATCGTCATGGTGCAAGTGGTGGTCGCAGTGTCCGGGGACGGATAATCGGTGTTTGTAAAGTAGGTGTTGTTGTACGATGAAATGTCGCCACATGTCCTTTGAACTAAAAATAACAAATTACTTTTCCCATTTTTTGCTCAAATCACAGTTCCAATTAAATCGCTCTTATAGCCCAATTGCAATTCGTTTAGCAATGAAACTTGGGATATAGTTTGCTTATAATACACATAGACAGTCAAAATTATACTGGTTGAAACGAAAATTTTATTTTTTTCAAATAAACAAAAATAAATAGTAATTTTTTCGAAATCAAGTTTCTGTTTGCGTTATATAACCATATATTATCACTGAATTCGATTGAATATTTAACAAATTTGACATTTATGGATTATTATTCATACTTAGTTATAATAATAACAATAATAATAATAATATTCAATTATTTCAAAAGATTTAGACAAAATTCCAATACAAATTAATATAGTTGAACCGAATATTACAATACAAACAAGATTATGTTTTTGCTTATATCGTGCAAGTGCCCAAAAGGCTCATAAGTGATGGAGATTTTTCTGTTTTGCGACTAGTGGTGTTACAGTTTTACAGTTTCTAAATGAAATTTTATAAACAAAGCTATCAACAATCTCAACGTACTGCATCTCGCAACAAATGCCTCATTATCTTTTTTTTCTTAAAAACACAATTTCTATCAACAATCATACCTTCATGTGGAGTTTCAACCAAATCCTGTGGCCTATTTTCAGCTAGTTCCAATTTGACGCTAATAGGAGCACAAGTTAGATCAAAAACTTCTTCAACATTATCATTCACACTACCACATATGTGTTACGTAATCTTCATAATTTTTAACTTCAGCTTATCGATCTTTGTATTTCCGCAGTGGTTCTTCCATCATTTTTGGGTGCAAAATCACTGTCATTCAGATCATGCAATTCGTCAAAATCATTAAAATATTTTCCCACCTGCTGTTCTATCTCTGTGAATATTTTATTCTCATCTGCCTCACATAATTCAATTTTACCAAAACCTCTTTCTTTTGCTATACTATATCTATATCCCTGCCTGTAAGGACAAATTTGTTCTGTGGATTAAGTAGTCTGTATCCTTTCACTGTCTGACCATAACTTACTTATATCATTTTCTCTGACGCCTTGTTGGAAATGGATCAAATCTGGTTGTATTAAGTTGTATTAAACGTCTCTCTACAAAACTTCTTTTTAGAGGTTTCCATAAACAAAAGACATCTAGCTTTCTCCACTACTGTCCTACTCATCTTTTCACTTAAACCATTCTGTTTTGGTGTATAGAGATTGGTAGTCTGATGAATTATTAAATTCTTTACCAGTAAATTCTATATTATCAGTTCTGAAAATTTTTATTTTCCTATTTTTATTTGAATTTCTACCATATCTCGAGACCTCTGTATAATTGTTCACGTTCGTCGCACTTAAACGATGACTTTTAACTTTTTTAGGTTTATAGCGGGTCTGGTAATAATAATAATAAATATGAAAAAAAAAGTAAGTTTTGTTTTATTGCTTTCCTCCTTATTGTATTGAAAAGTACCAAAAAATTAATTTTAAGTTAGATAAGATAATATGAATAAAAATATATTTTTTAAGTCTTAAACTCTTGAGTTTATTCTTAAATCTACTTTTGCCTTTAAGCCCGAATTTTTAAATTCCATTCTCTAATTTATGGAGCGTGCGAGCAAAAAGAAACCCATAATTTGATCCAGTATATTGGGGCGGGTATTGCTGAGTAAGAAAACTTTGTTACACCCTGTACATGAATTAAAAGCCAAAGCTAAATATTTATGGGTTAATTTTGTACTGAAGTATGGTTTTGTACCTATTTTGTCTTATGTGCAAATGTCAAAATCAGTTGAAATGGTTGAATTTGAACGTGACTTTTGCGATTCCAAATACTCACTAACGCAGCATACTCCGATGTCGTTGGCACATGTTCCAGACGCGATGCCATCAATTGCGGCGCACTGTCGTCTGGTGTAACACGTGCCGTCTTGGTTTCCGGCACTAGTGCAGACGCTGTTCTCAAATCGCACGAGACCTATCCCGAAACCAAGGCCCCAAAAAACTGAAACGATATTGTGCGTCCCAGTAACGAGGTAAAATTTGAAAAAAAATTGACAAATCGAAATTTCGAATATTATTTATTAACATGAAGTAAAAACGCGGTTACGCGGAATAATAATAAAAAAATAATTCCACTGGAATTGCAATGGAATCCTTATAAGCTCTGGAACAATTGACATTCAATTTTTATTTACTAAACACTAAAATAAAAAAAAATATTTGAAAATTAAATTCTCAAAAGCATTTTTCTCGAAAACAGTGTGTTCTAGCGAGGTTCGACAAGGATACCTAAATTAAGTAGACAACTACAGAATTTAGAACTCTGCGGGCCAAATTACGAAAATTTGGGGCAAAATTTTCCCGCGCATCCCATGTGTTATCAAATGTGGCATTTGATAAAGACACGGTGTTGTCGAAACAATTGTCATGTCAAAATATAAAACTTCGTGAAAATCTGAACTTTTAGTTCTTATTTATTTTAAATGTCAAGCAACTTACTAGGCCAATCTTTAAAAGTTCCAAAGTAAATAATAGACGACCTAGTTGCAATTGCAATCTTTTAAAAACTTTTATTTAACTTCTTAACTTAAAAGATACTCTTGGTTATTTCATCATCGAATTTACTTACATTTGGGGTCCCGCGTATTATTCGAGTAGTTTCTACTCGATTTTAAAGGTTCCTTCGTATTCGTGTGCTTTTCAAAGCACTCGACCCTTCCGAAGTTCACTAACATTAAAAACAATGTTAAGCGCTCCGGCGGTGTAATGAAATACATCCCGAAGAAGTAATTATAACAAATACAACTAATAAGTAACAGCATGGGCATCTGCATATGTGTGAAAATATCCGCACAGTTATGTAAATATTAAATAAAATTGCAAAAAACTAAAAGAAATGCATGTGTTAAAAATAGAGGTACTCGACACAGTCTCATTTGGGCTCTATTAAAATTAATATGTTAATGACATATGAAAACATGTCGTTCTTTTCAGTCGCACCTCACTATACAAGGTGCCTCTGATGAATTTTGAACTGCAATTCTACCCACAGCACATGCAAATGTACTAACCGAAATAAATTTTGCAATATGAAATAATAGTTCGGATCTGTATTCTCTCTTCTTTCTTGGAAATGAATAATCCAGTCTTGGTTAGTTTTCAGAAATAAATGTCGACAACTCCAAAATGCTGAGTGCATTTTAAGTAACTTGGAGATGTTAAAAAGGGCTTTTCCTAGGGTATAACAAAGACAAAAAAATAATTTTCTGAAAAAAAAAACAAATTCGAGGATACTGCATAGTCAAACAAGAGCAGCCCCATAACTCAGTGAAAACTGCATTTGAATATATTTATCCTAACCTAAAAATCTATACTGTGGGTAGCATTGCGCGTGTTGAATGTATTAGTGCAGAACGCAGTTATTGTCACATAGATGGCACAACATGTATTGTTTTTGAAACTTTCTTTTGGCCTATGTGACTAGAGAAGAAACACGCGGTGGAATGGCGGACCAAGTGTAGAATGATTTTGTTAGTTTTCTTATAAATTCCAATATTTAATACATCCTTCTTAAAATAAAACGCTTCAGTGTGTGTTATTAAACCACATAATTCAAGAGCGCGTAGCATTCCGCGCTGCCTACCGAATCCAAATTTTTCATGGTTTAAGACTTATTTTTCCCCGTACACGCCGGTAAGCAGGCTGGATGGGTCCAGAGCTCTGCGATGGAAGAGAGGGGAGCCCCCTTTTTTATAGTATTGTTAATAATTTTTTTTTGTCGACGAGTGTTAAGAAACGGTTTGGTCGGTGATCACCAAAAGTCGTTAACCTAATTTGTATTAAACATTGTGTAACTTGTTTATCCAGGACTAAGGTTGTAAATGGCCGAATGGTCCTAGTGGTCTTGGCGCCAAAAGAAGTAATTTTTGTAAATAATAGTGACAACGGAAATTTTAAAGTAGCTTGGAACAATAAAAATCAAGTTTATAATTTGACACAATTTGAAATATACATGAAGACTCTTTAAAGCTTTAGTGGTTCTTGGCTTGGACTATAATGGTTTTTCAAGCTATCAAAATGCTTTATTATGTCATTAGATCTAAAACCCCAGCACCATTTATTGGACCTGTGGGTTGTTCAATCTCATCTTCGATTTCAACATACATTTTTTTTTCATTTGTGGCGTCAGATACTATTTTGCAAACTTCCTTCCCATCAGGCTGCTGTTTAATCTTATGTTCGTAGTAACCGTTTTTTGATTTTTATAAGTTAATTTGGTTCATTCTTATCATTTTTATATTCTGTTATTTTATCAGCAGCCGAATTTAATTTTAGGTGTTTCTTCCATGTTCCATGTATATTCCATATATCCATGTTCGATTTGGCATTAACTACATTGCAATCTAAATTTATCTTTTAAACAAACCTAACTGCATTAAAAACCAAAATTTCAGCATCAATGCCTAATTGTTTGATTTTCCTATAGACTACTCTCTACCACATACCCTAAACTGGCACAACTAAGCCACTGAAAAGTTTAAATCGTCTTTACAGGCGTCTGCTAAGCTAATGCATGACGCCAGAATCGTAAACCTAATTAGGTTTACGATTCTTGCGCATAACCTATCTTAGCATTCTGTTGTAAATAAAAGACCATAGATAACGAATTTGTAAACATCAGTTCTGTGTTCGTTTGCGGGAGGCAAAACATTTGTTTAATTACGTATTTATTAACTTAATAAATAATTTTGAAATAAAATTAAACCAGTCTGGCCAAAGCGCCAACCGTCGTTTTACACAGAGGCAGGAATATGAGCCACCACAGATCCACGAAATACATCTGTGCAACATCTGAGCTTCTGCGGTGCTTTTGTTGACTTCGAAAATGTGCGGTTACGTACTTACCTAGAAAATAATCTTTAAATGATACAATTTTACTTTGGAATTTCCTTTATTGAAGTGTTATCCGCATTAGTATTTAGAATCTGTCCGTTTACATGGACCAGAATGACGAGTTCAAAGTATTAACCTGACTATTGAACTTTAAATTCATTTTAATTTATTAAATTATCATTTTTAGCAAGCAAGTGAATGTTTTATTGCAGAGACTGAGCGAGGCAGAGCAGAGAGCAGAATGTCTGAAATTGGAAATCAGGGACATCACAAATGAAATAGTCAATTTAAAATCATTATTAACCACACCTAGCCATAATCTGTTAAAAAAGTAAGGACCTGGGCGCAGCTCTTATGAATCGTTATAATCTTTATTTTAAGTAATCAAGTGTTTACTTCACGTACCTCTAAAACAGCAACCAAAAAAAAGAGGGGCACAGAGGAACCTGATTTGGGTTGTGGAGATTCAAAAAAACAAAGAAATGACCACAATTTTGAATTTGAAGATGATTATGTGATTGTATATACGGACGGTGCCTGTGAGAATAATGGAAAAGCAAATGCAAAGGCTGGAATTGGAGTATGGTTTGGAGATGGAAATCCACTGTAAGTAATTACTGTATTACTTATACATACTTTCATATTAAATGATTAGTTTCAGGTGCACTTATTTTTGTAACAAAATACATAACAATAGTTTACAAAACTTAATTCAATTACTAATAGAAAATAGCAAGGAAAACCATTTAAAGAAATAAAAAAAATGTGTAATAAATTAATATACAATAAATAATAATATAATAATTATTATTAATAAATATATTAATTAATTAATAATAATATTTAAAAAATAAATATTTTAATTCAATTTAAGACTTTTTACATGCATTATAAATATCCATTTTACTTATATATGTAAGATAATCTCTACATTGGTAATTCACACTCACCATATAATATATATGAATAGTATGATCATTACAATGAACATTTTCATCATTAATTAATTTGCTTGTTCAATATCTAAATTATTTCTTTTGTTTCTCAAATTTGTATTTGTTTAATTTTTCGTTTCTTTTTTCAATATTTATTTTTAAATTGGCTTTTACTTGTAATCCTAGGGTGCTAATTGTTACCATTATATAGCAAAACAGTGTCGTCTCCAAAAGTGTAGTAGCGGACTTGCATACCAGGACATTCAGCACGCATAATACTCACGTAACTCATTTCCGCTGCTGAATGGGTTCCCCTTTTTAATGTAGTCTTTTTGATATTCGCCAGTACTAATATGTTTTACTATAGAAGATAACATTCTTCTTTTTAATTATTGTTCCAAAAACAGTTGCTAGATTTATTGGGTGGTAATTATTTATTTATTAATACTTTTTTTAAAGTTTATATTTAAACACTTGTATTATCACAGATAACAAAAATTAATATAATTTCAAATATTATCAAACTTGTAGAGAATGGTTAGTACCTGTACTTCTATATTATTTATTTTCCTAAGAATAAGTCACATTTAACACAGCGTAAAAACAGGTTTATTTATAGTGTATATTATTATATTAGACAAAACTGGGGTAATACACTTTCAAGGTGTATGACATCATTAGCAAACCCTAGTTCACTAGATCACAAAAACCGGGCCTAGGAACTATACCAAAAATAACAAAAAAAAAAACATATAGACATATCAAAAATAGTCTATTAAAACTATTTAAACATCCACTATGATTAGAAAAATATATGTTTTAACTTATCCTGATTGATTGTGACAAAAAATACTAATAAATGGGAAAAGAGTTGCAGTTACCTAAACTCAACTCAAACCCATTTCTAATTTTCCAACATTTGACTGCTGTCAATATTTAAAAAAAAACTGATTTTCGGTGATTTGTTAAAATGCATAAAATAAATATGAACGTTTTGGGAAATTTTCTTCATACTTGTCATTTATGACGCAAAAAAAAACGCTTTTTTAAAATGGAAACTCCTTAAAATTTTATTTTTCAATAATAACCGTATAACCGTTAGAATCGTAATAAAATTTTCTTTTTAATAAGGATAAAATTTAACGAGGTATCCATTAAAAAAAAAGCTTTTCTTAATATTTCAAAAATTACAAGCGATAATTCTGAGGGGTACATAAGCATCGTCAAATAAAAGTAGAATTGATTGCAGGAATATATCCAAGCCCGTTTTTGGAAGGGCCACTAATAATACTGCAGAAATCCAGGCTCCAACTGAAGCACTGAAGCTCCTGCGAGAGTTGGGTAAGAACAATCAAGTTTTCCATTAAATGTGCCTATGTTTTCCATCATTAATAATTATTCATTGTCTTAAATATATACTTTATAAAAAAAATAATAAATTCATTTAATTTGTTTAATTTTGAAATTCGAAAACTCATTAGCAAATGTGTATATTGGGAAAAGTAGCTCAAAGTGTATAATAAATAACATGTACTATGGATGTATTTCCAAGTCATATTCTGCGTTCGTTCTGTAGGCTATTAATTTTTTGGCTTGGTAGGGCTGAGAAGTCATGTTTTATTAATTTGTAATTAGTTAATACACTTTGTGAATCAAGCAAAGTTTGAGGTTTTGGTTTATTACATCATAATAAACTCCGTGCGATTTGTTGATATGTGGGTTTCGATTCAGGTTATAAAAAAGCGAAAGTATTAACAGATTCACAGTTTACCATTAACTGTATAACAAAATGGATACATAATTGGAAAAGAAATTCGTGGAAATTATCTAGTGGCGGGCCAGTAAAAAACAAGGAGGATTTGGTTAAGTTGGATAATATTATTCAACAGTTTGAACACGTAAAATGGGTAAGATTCTTTTTTTTTGCTTCTTGAATACCTTTCAGTTAGATTACCGCCTTTTAGGAATATATAGCGGGGCATCGTGGCTATAAAGGGAATGAAGAGGCGGACAAACTGGCTAGAGAAGGATCGTTCAGATATAAGTCACATTGATTTAAATGTCATCGGAATCCAATAATAATTTTGGAACATTTTTTTTTACTATTGCGTAATGTGTTCGACCATTTTTTTACCATGTTGAATATATCTGTAATTGAACTCATTCAAAGTATTCAATATTCCCAAATTAATGATCATCCTCACTCAAAATTTCCTCTCCATTAATGTAATAAACTAATGAACTGTAATAAAAAAAAATATTTAAAAAAGAAAATATGACAAATATGTTTATTTCAAATTGGTCAAATTGAATTATAGGAAACTGTAGCAAGAAAGGCATATAACTGATTAATTGAAGTATAATAACAGAAAACATTTAAAAATGAAAATATGACTAAGCTAAATTGGTTTATATTAATGTAATAAATGAATAAACGAATAAATATATTTATTATTAAATACAGGAAATTATAGCAAGAAAAGCATGGAACTGATTAATTGAACTGTACTAACACAAAATATTAAGAGAAATCAGTCGCTTACCATCAATGTCTGCCAAAATACAGAGTACATGTGTACCAAAATACATTTTATTTTTGAATGCTTTAACACTATGTATTTCAAAAGTCAAAACGGATAGGACAAACGCTCATATAAATTTTTCTTTTTAAAATGGACCCAAAAATCGCCGTAATTTTTGACATTCAATTAGAAAACACTCTTTATAGTCAAACGTACTGATCGAAATTCTTAAGAACTCGAAAAATCTTGCAGAGAATCTTTATTTTATCTTTTATTTACTTCAAGAACTGCATTTCTTCTATTAGTTTGGTTGCAAGATAAATTTGCCTATAAGTAAGCCAGTCTTCATAGCTCCCGATTTAAATTGTTCTTGATTCAAAATTTCGACAACGAGTGTTGGTTAAAAAAAAACAAACAAAACGAACAGCCTTTATTTACCTAAATATGTCTTAAACCTAGTACTTAAACTCTGTTTTCCAAAACTAATCCTTGGTTATATATACGAGATCGGTCAGTTTAAGTAGGAACTTAAAACGAAAATCATCGAGTTTTTTCCTAGCACAGTCTACAATGGCGTTCGGTGGTTTTAGTTCGCGTCTCCAGATGCGGAGCAAGAAGCCGCATTTCTAGAAGCATCGCCCGATTCGAGTGTCGCTCTCCGTCTAACCTTTGCGAAATATTTGTGTTGCATGGCGTCCCTGGCCGTTATCCGTTCCATGTGGTCGATTTTCAACAAACTGTCCAACAGATCCAAGCCGTTCTTATCGACCAGGTATTCATTTTCAGTGGTGACGAATTTCTGCCAAGACTTTTTCGTATGAGTTCCGATCATCTGCCGGAAACTGTTGTCTATGCTAATGTTGTACTTCTTTAGGTAACTGTTCAGTTCTAAAGTTCCTGTAATATAAACAAAAGCTCACGAAGTTCGTGACAAAAATGTATTTCGATACCTCATAGGCCAAATGACGTAGACCAAAGCATGTAACTCGCAATAATCACTAACATTCAATAATTTTATTTTTGACTCAAACAATAAAAGCAAGGATGTACTGAATATAATCCAAATAATCTCGTTTATTATTTGTTTCAGAGAAAAATGACAAACACAAAAGTTAAAACTAAAAAAAAAAACAATTTAAAATTATTTTAAGATATATAGGGTGATTCATAAGAGTGTGGAAAATGAACCCCATTTTTTAAAAATAAAACACGCTGTATGTTATTGAATTAATAGATACTCACTTGTCTATCACCCAATGTAGATTTGTTATGGTTTGTACTGAGTGTTTTCGCATTTAGCAGTAATTTTATGATGCCCAAAATTTTATAAAGTGGTACATTCATTTATTCTATACGTAGACGTAAGCTTCAGGGTTACAACTCGTTAATGTCTAAAATATTGACCATTTATTGGGCATTGTGCCGTCAATATTTGCCGCAATAAATATTTTTATAATTAAATTAAATGTTCTTGCGCCCCTTTTGTGGCTTAAGTCGTTTCGCCTTTGAGATGTCGTTTTGTAATCACCTAAAACTTTGACTATCTTGACTAGCTGATCGTAATTATCGTTGCCGTGAAAGAACGGTTCCTTCCGAAACATCATCGCGGCGAACATGCAGCCGAAAGACCACATGTCTAGCGAGTAATCGTAAAAATTGTAGTCGACCAGAAGCTCCGGCCCTTTAAAGTATCTTGACGCGACTCTGACGTTGTATTCCTGAGCGGGATGGTAGAATTCGGCGAGGCCCCAATCTATTAGACGGACCATTTTGTTTTTCCCATCTATCACCACATTATGAGGTTTGACATCCCTATAAGACAATAATACTGGGAAATTCCACGCTATGAAATGATTCACAATATTATTATTCTAAAATCTACTACAACTATGCTAGTTTGTAAGGGATGGAATTTTATATTCGTATTTCGTATACATTCTTATTTCGTGTGTAATACAGCGTGTGTTGAATCGTGTGCGAATTATGCAAAATATGTGCGAGTCTAGTGTATCTCAGGAGATGCTCCCGCCCAAATGTAGAAAACATTATTCTATTAAGGCTAAGTAAGTTATAAACAATGTTTATTTGACTCTCATTGAACGTGGTGCCAGCAAACAGCATCTTTAGAAGAAACGGCCACATTGACGAAAATTGTGAATAATCCCATTTCAGGGAGGAAAAAAAGAAGCGATGCTGATATTTTCTCGAGTGACGATGAAAGTGATCAAGATATAATACGGCTTAAAATTGACCATTTATACGAGGAACAAAGCGTGCCTACATTAGATATCTTAATTATTAGGTTTGAAAAACATGAAACCGGTGTTAAATGTGGCAGAACCACCTTATGGAAGTGTATTCAACACGTGGGTTTTAGATTTAAAAAAATTAACAAAAGGCAAATTTTAAACAATAATGGTTTAAACATAACCCGAATTCTGAAGATGATCGCTAATAAGTTCGAAACGGTGCATCACATATCCATACTCATATACATTGTTGAATTTGTCTTTGAAAGGACTACCCAAAAAAGCAATAAAATGAAGGGTGATCTAGTTAAAAAGTAACTTAGTTTTACCATCCTGTATATAAAAAAGTGAAAATACAAAAGGTCAACTTTTGTTATCTAAATTTTTTTTGTGACCCGCGTAGGTTTCGAGATAAGGTATAGACCGCTCTTGAACGGGCCACCCTGTACAATAACTGTGTTTTTCTGAACAACGAAGATAGAGGGTTATTCAACTTAAGCCTACATTTGTTTAAAACGTATACAAAACTCATTCTTCAAATATTGTCCATTATTTTAGGAAATATCTAGTTAAGTTTCTTTTGTGAAATATGTAATTTTATATTTAATATGCGCTATCCTGTAATTGGGCAGCCTCGTCTGCCTGTTGGTTAGCCTTTAGATTTATAAATAAATGAAATATGGGCCTCAAAGTTTAATTCAGAGTAAAGACAGATTCCCAAGTCTCTAATCTTCTCATGCTTTCACTTATTTCAAATATACCACATAATTAATAAGTCAGAACCTTTTCTTTTTCTTATTTATTTTGTTTTTCTCGTTCACGTCTTTCTTTTGTATTGTTATTGTTATTAACTAAGCTTTGCACGGTATTATGGATTCTTACGAGGGCACTGTTGTGGGTTTAACCCGTTTGTGCCCCAAAAAGCAAGGAAATAAATAAATTAAAAAATAAATAATGAGACACCCCGTACCATTTCCATATCCACCTTATTTCGGGCACAGTGCAATACGCATGTGGCTTGTTTTCCTCTACCAAACAAGTTCCGAATGTCGTTAACAACTATTTAGGCGCTAATTTACGATCGGCAAATATTATGACCGGCAAATCTGAGATTAGGTGCGTTGTTATCTTCCACGTATACCTGTGCATAATGCCGCTCGAGTGACAAAAATCCAGGGCCTTCAGGATCTCGTACAGATAATACCTCGTATCTTCTACGGACAAGGTCAGGTAAACGTTCTTGAAATCTTCGTTGTTCGGCAGCTGTTCGAAAACCAGGGCCGTCAGATCGACGCTAGGCATTCCGACAACGCAAAACATCCTTATAATGTTCGGCCCGTTTTTCAGAGCGTCGAGAATTTTGATCTCCCGCCGGATTTTCTTTTTCCGCACCGGTTTCAAAATTTTCACCACCACACGTTCCTTCCTGGTCTCGTCCATCGCGTCGAAGACGACGCTGTATTTGCCCTGGCCGAGCTTTTTAATCAGGCTGTAGTTGTCGGCATCCTCCAAACTGGGACTGTAGCTCTCGTATTCGTAATACGATTTGGGTTTGGAAGCTAAAGCATCCGAATATATCTTCGATACCGTTTTCACTTGGTCGGTTCGAGAGTCCCTGCAACAAACGCACAGTGATTCAAGGTTAAGTTTTAAGATGACAAAAATCTCAAAAGTGGTGTGATTAGTGGCATTCGGCGCTCCCGATACGTAGCAACCTGTATGTAGAGGTCATGGTGTCTTATTTTTGTTTGGGTGTTGTTGATTTTGAGATTTAGATTTTTTCGAAGGTACGTCTTATTCAGTGTTTGTGTGCTGATTTAAGCGGAAATGTCTTTCTCCTCGAGTACCTAGTAGATCAGAAATTAGTAGAAACGGATCTTATGGACATTTTAATTCTAAACGAAATGACGGAGGATAATTTGGTCAAATGAAGTTATGAAGGGAACTTATTCTTAGAATATTTTCGAGGCCCACGTTTGTAAAGTTATTAAAAGAGGTCTATTTTAGAATTTACCACATAGCACGTTTCTCTTTTCATTTAATAGTAATAATAACATAATTTACTTGCCAACAAATGACAATTTAATTTCATGAAAAAGGATCCACTCTCGAGTATAATAACCAACTTACTAATCAACACCTTTCTAAAACAAAAATGTTAGCGAGAAGGCCCTAGAGTCTACAATAGAAGAACATAGAAGCGCGGTAATATATCGCATACTTATTAATTGTAGAAGAAAAGAAATTAGAAAAAAAAGGATGTTGTGGTGAGCATATTGCCACTAAAATTTGCAACTGCTTGAAACATGACTGAAAGGGAGGAGAGGGGACACGTACGAGTCTAAACATAACATTGAAGATAAATAAAAATAATAGCTATTAAATATTTAAATTAATTATTCTAAAAGTAGATTTTGTTCTGTAAGTAATTGTGATAGTCCTAATTCCCTCATCTGACTGGTAAGAATATTCCATATAATATAATTAATACATACGGAATTAATAACAATATGGAAGAAGTTCTTTAAAATAAGCCGGCTTACCCGATTTTTATAATTTTATGAATATATAAATAAAATTATTCAAAAAAGGAGACATATGACTAGGGTAATGTATTTTGTAATTTTTGTATCGATGTTTTATTTTGTCTAGACAGACAATCTCCATATGCCATATCTGCGCAATCAACTAATGTAAGAACTAAGGCATTGCAAAGAAAATATATTGTTTTTGGATTGAAAGATTGCTTTAATCTGTTAATGTTCTTAAGGAGTAAATAACTGACGTTAAATTTTGTTTATATGTTAATAATTGTTTATTAATTTATTTAAATTTATTTAAATAAAGTAAAAAATGAATAAAATTGAATTTTGAGCTTAATTTTCATACAACACAACTTTATACTTTATGTTTGCTTCAAAAGTAATAAATAGAGCAAGTAAAGAACAAGCTACCGCATTGGATTCTACGGAAAAAAATTTATAAGAACATTTTTTAAATTCATCAATAACTTAAAAGACAACAGAAATACGAGGGTGATCCCCAGATGGATTTCTGAAAACCCTAGAGGGCCATAATAATTTTGTGTAAATTTCACGTCTGTTGGCCTATTTCTCATTTTCCCAAACCTTTGCGCGGTGTTTGATGCAGTAGCCTTTGTTATCGCTGTTCATAAGCATTTCCGAGACAATTTGGCCTGGTTAAGTTGATTTATGGCCAGTACAAATTATATTATAAGTTTATTTTTTATTTGATAAATTATTGTAAATAAATAACATTAACAAAAAGGAATAATTATTTTAGAAAAACAATAATATTTAGTAGGTTAGTGATCAAATTTAAGAAAATCATGGAAATAATAATTTTCCTAGCGTTTATTCGAATACATTTTTCAATTCTGGCACAAAGTTCATCTCGGTTTCAGTGTAGAACATCTATCTAGTTGAAGTATTTATTTTTTAGTTAAGTTAGTTAATTGAATAAAATTTGGTTTGATTACAATTATATCTAACAAAATTTTTCTTATTTTAGTTTCGCACCTTTTAGTGAGCAGTCAGCTATTACATGGCATACATATATATCTCGAAAACTGCTTAAAAATAACTAATTTTTAATTATGCATTAATCACTTTTTTACTTAGAAAATACAAGAGAACGGCTCTGGTGGTATTTTTGCAAAAAAAATTGTGTGTAGGTAGCGCCATCTGCAAGTTAACGCAAGACTGATTACACAGTCTAATTTCTCGTCCACGAAAACCATCACATGCAAATTTTTGTGCATATATTTCTAAAATTACTTTTATTGGTCTGTATCTCTGTAAAGTTTTGATAAATTTATTTGAGAAATCTAAATATTTCGATACAAAGAATTCGCGGGTTTTCTATGGGCCATTCGTTATTAAACACCCTGTATATAGCGATTCTAGTGTTATTGTATAAATACTAAACAGAGATCATGTTTTTCTTCAGCCCAAGATTTCAAACATGGAGTCATTATACGCAAGGTCAACGACTTAAGATAATAAACAAATCAGTTAAAACAGCATTAGAATAATGGTTTCCTTCCATTTTGCACAAAATTGGCACCACAACCTTCATTGGACTGTCAAGCGGAAAATGAATTATTTAACAAAAGGCATGGCTACTTACACTACCACTACTGCCAAAATAATCCAATTTTTAAATAATCCAATTAATTGGCTTTTAGAACGTGTCATAATATATTTCGATATTGTACAGCGCCTGTCCTAAGCTACATCAAAAATTTCAACTTTCTACTGGCTCCAACGTCGTAGTAATTAAAATTTAACTGAAGCTACGTTTTGGTAGGAAAATAACGAAAATAATTAACTTCTCAAAAACCATTAAAGATAAGCATGGGAACGTATTATTGAAAGACCACCATCAAATACATGGTGCCCCATAAAAAATTTCAATGTTGATGCTACTTTTCCGAAGAAGCGGCAACGTAGCGGCGTTAAAAATACTTTATATAAACTGAGCGCACCGCACTACTTTTATAATACTCTAATCCATTCATAAATTTATAGCTGCCTTAGATAATAACTGACATAATAGTATCACGGTAACCTTAAAACCTTCCTTAAAAGTTTCAGTGATTCGCTTAATCCGATTAATGACGATAAAGTTTTGTTCCACTTTAACCTTTCGGAGTCGAGCGCCCAAATTATTTAGAAATTAAGGAGAAAATCCGCGGTAATTTGGGTATGGCGTGTTTCAAAGTACATCATCTCGGCTTTTGACGTATTGTGCCCTCCAAAAAGTAATGACGACCTTCATACCAATTCTCACTGGTTAAACCCAACTACCAATAGTATATATACAGGTATTCAAGGGACAACAGTGTTATTGTAACGGATCAAATCAGCATCAAGCGTCAAATTCATCAAGTGCAAAATTCTAAAATTCAACAATAGAGTAAGACATATTGTTGAATCTTTTGATAGGTTTGTTGATATTATTTTAATTCCAAATTTACGTAACTCTATAACGATTAATACAGTCACAAATATTATCACCCCTAGTTTTTATCATGGTCATCATCAACACGAATGGTTGAGTGGGTGATGCCTTATTGTTGTCTGCCAAAACGTAATTCGGCAAGTGGTAACTAAAATATCTGCTGGTCTAATTATGAAAAAAGAGTAATAAAAGAAGAAAATATTTATCGATTAGCGGCGGAGTTGATCGTTAAACTAGGCGACGACAGAAGCGATAGTGACGATTTTTTAAGTGACTGATACTTTATTTTTATTATATTTAATATTTTGTGTATTAATAATGATACTATGTAGAAATGTAATGAAATAGAAGCTAATAAATCCTTACATTCTACTAACTTCTTTAAGTACATGTTTCAAGAATTGCTCGGCGAAAAAGATTGAAAACATACTTATATCCCGTTTGTTAGTGTAGGTAGATAAATTCTTAGGACGCTCCTGAAATGGTTACGGGTAACGGGCTCCGGTTTTGGAGTAATAAACAGTAGGCAAAGTTAATCACACGGTCGGTTGGAAAAGCACTATAATTCTGGTCGAAGTATACTAATGTGGACTTATTTTACCTAAATTAATATTTTTAAAGTCCGTCTGATGCTACTGGGGCGATTCCCAAATGGGCACGTCAATTTCATTTCGGGACAGAAATAAATTCACCTAATTAATATATCAAGGGAAATTCACACCAAATAGAAAAAATTTTTTAACTGATCACTCTGCGAATTTAGTTCTTATAGCACACAAAAAATCTACTTTTTCGGGTTGTAAAAACAAAAGCCATTTCCCGTTGCATGAATCTCAGTTTTTGAATTTGACGATACCAAACTTGGATTAGATGGAATCTACAGTCTGTAATGTTAACGTTTTTCCAAGTACACGCTACTGTTTTACGAATCGATAGCTCAAAATCAACTACTAATTTCCTTTGGTAAAAAGTCCGAATTCATATTTTGACAAAATTCCGCAGGAGGGTCAAGATGGACTTGTTTTTTGGGAACTCTGCCAAAAGCCAAGGCAATATACTTTGAGACATACCGTAATCACTTATAATCACGATACCTTGCTACTACCGTACCAGCAGCGATTTCACAATCCGTGTTAATCTCCGGAACATTCGTCCATAGCCCTAAGAATCGCATATTAAATCGCTGCTATCGCCGCGCATTAAACACTAAAAATAATCCAAAAACGTTCATGCACCGGTAAGCGAGTCCCCGTTATCACCCGAAAGATAAGCAAATCCGATAAAAGCGAAAGCTACCTGCCACATTCACGCAAAATAGTTACCGAATGTCCGCAGAAGTCGAAGCTGGCAACGATGTGTACTTTAAGTTTGACAAGAACATTTTTTTTTTCGACAACACGAAAGAGAGACTCGACTTTATCGTGTTAGATTTAAATAAATAGTGTTGGTCCGTTGGAACAATACGTAGGTACATAATCTCCGGCCATACATCATTCGCTGATAAACTGACAACTTGCTTAAATAACATCCGAAACGGGGAATTTTACTTACGAGTCTTCGTTGTAGTCGTAGGATTCCAAATTCCGAGGCCTGAACATTCGGAAAGTATCTCTCAGGACATCGAAAACGCGGACAGGTGACAACTAAAATTTTTAACCTCTGACATTGGGCCTATGACAAGTACCCACCCCGCTCGATCGATATACTTTTTTTTATATCTGGCACCGATTTGTTGCGTTATTGATATCCCAAAACCTGCCTTAACGAGGAGTACTAAAAGATCCTTCGAAATTTTTAGAAGAAACGAAGAAAATGCAAAATGTACGTTTCGAATTTTTCGTCTGCTTTATAATAAACAGATTTTTTCCAATAATCGTCACTACCGCAAGCAAAAGTCGCAGGGGGTCATATCCGGTAAATATGGTGGGCCGAGGCATGATTATGGTTTTTTGTTTTGCCAAAGACACAGCAATGATGAGTGAGCAGGTTTTCCCACAAAACTGGACGTTTTTTTCGCATTGCTTCTCGCAAACGGCGCATTTCAAGGTAAAACTCTTTATTGAATGTACGGCCTTGTGATAAAGACTCTTGATTAGGACAATCAAAGAAAACGGCAAGCAAAACTTTGAGATTCGATCGAACTTGACGTGCTTTGATCGGTCTTGGCGATTCTGGGTTCTTCCATTGTGATAACTGGTGGCTTTAAATTCGACTTCATAACCGTATACCCATGATTTGTCACTAGTTATGAGCTTTTTGAGCATATCAGGATCATCATCGACTTCGTTTAACAGCTCTTGAGCGATGCTTCTTCGACGCTCCTTGCATGGCACGAGCACGAGTCAATAGAGATGAAAACGTTTTCAGTCATTTCTCTAACAGTCATTTGAAGATTTTTCGACACCATTTGTGTCACTTCTTCAACGCATTCATCAGTTATTGATGTGCTGGAGAGGAACGAGGTTCGTCATCGGCGTCTTCTCGGCCATCTTGGAACGGCTTGTAACACTTATAAACATTTTTTTTTGCTCAAAGTGGATTTTCGATATGCCGTTGTTAACGTTCAGGTGTTTTGGAGCACTGTATTCCATTTTTAGCATTAAAAGAAAAACTTACAATGGCGCCCTGCTGTCATTTTGACAACTAAAGATATTGTTTTTATGTCAGAAATTAGGTATTTTAATTATATACGTACTTGCCAGGTTTCACCGTGCCATATACAAAAAAAAAGGAGTATTCGAAATTATTTAAATTTATATAGGGTGGCTCAAAAAAAACCGAAAATATCTAGTAGCAGATAAAAATATTAATCACGCTCATGACTATTTCACGTGGTCGTTTACCCCTGGTGTAATACTAATCTTGGTTAGTTCCATACGTAGTACGTATGAAATAACTGTAATATCCGTAGGAAATAAAACGCCAAGCGGACTTGCAGACTTCCGGAACCATACTGGCAGATCGGTTCAAGGTTATAGATCGAAATATCGATCTGTTGGCCTTGTAGTGGGAGATACGCACTATATCAGTTCAACACGTTATACGCCGCAAGCGACATTTTATATTTGTTCTGTTGTTCTAGGTTTAGTTGCCAGCAACTAAAGCAGATATTTACTTAATTTATTACCTGCATAGTTCCAAAAAACTCGCCGTTCTCATGATTAGAAAAAAAAAACAATTAACTAACGAAACAGGACAACACAGTGCGACACGCAGAAACTTGCAAAAATTCGCACAAATCCAATCGATACGCGAGTCTCGAGCGGCACAGTACACAGGCACGGGCGACTCATTCGACTCATCAAATAAATCACGGAATTCAATCAAAAAACGGCAGATTTTTTCTTTATTTCGCTAACCTGCAAGTCTGGCGTTTTGGACCGGAGTCTACACTTATTTGTTTGTAGTGTGAATTTTTAAAAATCGCAACTGAAGTCGACAACTTATGTCATTCAAGTCAAACGGGTTACAAGCCTCGTAATATACAGGGGGTTTTCTAATCCATTGTAAATTTTAAAAAGAAAACTTCATAAAAATGAACATACGTCCTAAACGTCTTAACTTTTAAAATCCAGGGCTAAATTTCCGAAATGAATATTTAAATTAAATTAAATTTAATATTGAAATTAATTTTAATTGTAATTAACACATGAAGAGGCGTTAGAAATTTAATTTCTTGACTTTTTTCAATCAGATGTAAGGTTTTCATTTAAAAAACTAAACACCTCTTGTCTCTGGTCATAACAATATAGCAATTAGCACGAGGAGAATAATTAAAATTGTTATTTGTTGCTTAAGTAATTGTCTATGTCTTTTATTAAAATACTTGAAAAAATCGAAGTACGAATACGACGTACGTAAACTTTGAGGTGTATTTTTGAAATGTTTAATGTTCTTAGTATTGATTTGGTGGTTAGTATCAATTTGGTGTTTAAATTATGCGAGCCTTGTTATTTTAAAAAGGAATGGTCGAATTAACTAATGAGGAGTTGGCAGATATGCAAACCCAGTTTAAACTGCTTAGGGTCCTTTTTAAACTCTTTTTTATTCGATTTTGTCCCTCCTTAATTTTTATTTTCTAGCCCAGACTTTCAAAGTCAGGTAGCAAAACAATTAAACTTTACCTTGGTCGATTGAACTGATAAATGACATTTTGAGACGACGAATAAATCGACGAAACTTATTCTCAGTGTAAAGACAGGATATTTAGCCAAGCTGGCTGATGATAGTGCGCCGGAAGCTAAGGGATTATATCAACAACGCTTTTCCAATAGAGTCAAATCAGATAGGCGAACATTTTCAAATGTACCTAGAAGCTTGACTGAACTTGGAGGCAAATAACCATTTAAAAGGGACTGTAAGAACCACAGAAATTAAATAAACAATGTTAAATCCTATTGATGAAAATCCTGAACTAAATACTAGGGAAATTGGAAATAATCTGAATATTTCGCACGTCTTGGCATAGAAAATATTGCGCAATTTCTTTCCAGAGATTTTCGCTTGCGTGTGAATTTTTGTCAATTGTTTTTGGATAAAATTGGGCATTGTACCTTTTTTTTACTTTTCCAGAAATGCAATAAGAAATTTACACAATAACCATATTTGGGTGGATGAAAACCCCCATGCAGTTGTAGAATTTAAACAGCAAGAACAGTTTTCGGTAAATGTTTGGGCTGGAATTGTGGGAAATTGCTTATATGGACCCTTTTTTCTGCCAGAAAGGGTAAATCGCCATAATTATCGCCGGTTTTTAAAAGAGGATTTGGCAATATTGCAAAAAGGAACAGGAATAAGAACAGAATGTGGTTTACGCATGACTGCGCGCATAACTTTAGTGTTTCAGTAAGAGAATACTGAAATCATACATTTAGTAACTGATGGGCAGACCTCAACCAACCGTGGCCCCCTAGGTCCCCAGATTTCATAGTTTCGACATTTTCTTATGGCGATATCTTAAAAGTCTGGTCTATCGCACCCCAGTTAACCCTGTAGAGAGAGAGAGCATAAGAGCTTCCTGCGATTTAATAAGAAACACTGGGGGTATCCTTCAAAGCGTGCGTGGCAATATGAGGAAAAGAGCTGAAGCGAGTATCCTTCAAGGTGGAGGACACTTTCAACAAGTGATTTAGAAATAAGAATCGCTGATTATTTATCTTATTGTTAGGATGTTATGTTATTTCATTAAAACTGTCAAAGTAAAAAGAACAGTTTTCTAATTTTCTGAAGGATATTTCTCGTAAGTGTGATTTTATGGTGAGTTACCTGTCTTTTTCAATATTTTTTTCTTACTTAGTTTCTTAAGAAAATCCTACAAGTTAGATTGGGGCCTCTCCATAGTGGTAAGTTACTTCTAAAAATCTATATAGTATAATCCTATATTGCTTGATAGTTCCTAAGTATTTTTCTTCGAATATGAAATTATTTCAAAATATAATCTTTTAAGAATGGTTCCATCAATCTCGTAACATCTGATGCTGTACTGCGTTTATAGAGTTCAAGAAAAATAATAATAATCCTTCTGATTCGAGTATTCATAACACTTTGCATCAGGTTTCACCCGAAAAATGAAAGAACTATTATACGTACCCAGAACGCCTGAAGTGAGGCTTGGGAAAGTGAAAATTTGATCGATCTAATATTCCCCTAATTGTTTTCGATATGCGTGAATCAGACTGAAGATATTTTTTCCGATAATGACCAGTTTTTGTACCCCTTCTTTGCACTTTGCGCTATGGGTTTTAATTGTTTTTGTTGTTGAAGCGTTAGGAGTTTTTCAAAAATAAATCTATCTAATTAATAATTGTTTTATTTTGTCCGTCAGTATAAATACGCCACTGAACCAAGTCGTAACAATCCTATTATAACAAGGCAATGATATGTACCTAAGCATATGGCATTTATGACCGTGTCTCTAGCAGATTATACCATTTGTAACAATTCAAAAAACCCTTGCAAAATAGAATTTTAATTTATTTTTTAGGATTGCATGTTCGAACTTTTCTACTTTAAACTAATGAATTAATTAAAATCGGAACGCATCTAAAAATGGTACCATATAGCTAAGACATACGAATCATTTTTGATTACGTCACAATATATGACGTAACTGCATGAGAGTTTACCAGCTCTACACCTCTGATAAAATAATTCTGTAATTAATAGCTGCTTCTTCAACAACAAAACACACGTGGAAAAAACATCGACAATAAATTTAAAAAATAGGTAAGTTAATATTTCTACCTCATAAAGCAAATATGATGATGATGCTCCAACTAAATTACTATTCCTCTCATCTGCTTCTCGAATTTGAGGGCGACGAAAGAATTAAAAGAAATATCCGGAGTCGTCGTGGGACAATGCCGCCAAGGAATGCAATAAACCTCCGATCACGTGACCTCTCTATCCTGCCCCCGAGAACCGCGTATAGGAATTTTATTGCCGGAATAATTTTATCCTCATTAAATTCCTCCTCGAGACGGAATTATACTTTATCGTCCACGGAAAAATGGTTAATGTTGGGGTATCGATTAGATTTTTATGTGGACAATTATTTCGGCTAACGCGGGGGCGATATTAAAGAAAAAACGTATTTTGCAGAACCGGAAACAAGAACAAAATTTACCGAAAACTGTTCTGTTTAAATTCTACAACTGTATGGAGGCTTTCATCGATCCAAATATGGTTATTGTGGAAATGTCTGATTGCATTTTTGGAAAAGTTAGCTTCATCTGTAAATAGCATTTCTTGACAAAAATTAACGTGCAATGGAAAACCTCTGGGAAGTAATGCTTGGACTCGCTGAATGAGATATGGGTACAATAGAAAACCGTGCAAAAATTTCCAAACCATGAGATATGAAGATTATTTCCAATTTTTCTAGTACTAAGTTCGAGATTTTCAACCATAGAATTTAAAAAAGCTTCATCAATTTCTGGAGTTCTTATTCTGTGTGAGTCAACCTTCGTTTTCTCGATTTAACCAGTGCAGTGGCGACCTAATTAACTAAAATATTATTTACTAATAGACGGTCAGTGGCGCGCAGCACGGTGTTCATTTGAAAATTAAAACTTTTTTTCTGCATGCTGTTTTATTAACGATATTGGTAAGGAGAGAAGATATTTTTATTTTTTTAAGCGGAAAATCAAGAAATGATTGCATATTGTAAGAATAATGTTTATTTAACGAGAAATCAGTGGCGTACGATCAATATCTGATAAAACAGACAGTTGAAATTTCATACGCCCGGCATTTAAAAAAAAATGTGGTATACTAAATAATGCCTCTTGAAACATAGTATATGTGTCCAAAATATTAAAAAAATATATTTTATTTTTGAGAACCATCCTGTATTTCAAAATTTTAGGACTTATGTTCGTTGAACTGAGGTGACTTTTACTTAATGAAAATACATTTATCAAAATGAATAAGAACTAAAAATTCAGATTTTCACGAAATTATACATCTTCACATGACAATTGTTTCGACTACACCGTGTCTTCATCAAATGTAATATTTACAAACTAAATGCTACTATATATACCGAAAAATGACCATAAAACTTTAATTAATGTTGTTGTGAGAATTTAAGTTCACTAAAGGAAAGGTATTTATATCTTGGTTTAGCAATACACTTGAATGTCTCATTTTGTTAATTTCCATGGCTTTCAATAAATTTAATTTTCTACTTTTTGTGTCAAAATCGTCAAAAATGTGTTTTTCTGTGTTTAAGTGCGAAGCATAATTAGAACTATTGTTTGTAAACGCTCTTTTATGTTCGTTAATGCATTTTTTGAAGGATCTACCTGTTTGTCCAATAACAATTTTAGGACATGATCCGCATTTCAACCTGATTTTTGAGATTTTGGACACTTCGTTTTTTTTTTTTAAAATTTTCCTATTGTGTAGTTCTGAAAGCTAATTTTTAAACCACATTTTGACAAATGTTTTGAAACTTTTTCACTGGGTTCTCCTATGTATGTAATTGTTTTAAATTGTTCGTGTTTTGTATTAGGTTTCGGATAAATAGAATTCGATGAAACACGATAAGGGTCTGAAATTTGAAGCTATCGACTTAAAATTTGGAACACATATGAAGCTTAGACCAATAACGGAACTTATTGAAACTGAGGGCATTATCGGGTGGCGAAATATTTAAAAAAAATTATAAACTGCATTTAGTAGCAGTTCAAGAAAAAATCATTTCTCTAAAACAATGTATAAGATCGAAAAGTTTCTTGAAAAGACGGGCGAAATCCGGATCAATTGAAGATTTTTTGTATGAGTTCGTAAATTTCCAAAAACTGAAAATCGGGATCCCCTTATAATGTTAATTGACCGCAACTTGAAGGCTGGGTTTCAGTTGTCAGCTGCTTTCACACGACCATATAGCCCGTATAGACAGCATAAACTTTTCTACTTAAGGTTTTCACATATTGTACAGGGTGTTCGAACTATTCCGTGCTATAATGTAATGGGTGGGTTTGCAAATACCAACTTCAAATTTAGCAGAGAAGTATCTAAACTCTGGAAATTGGACACAATCAAATATTTAAAAAAATACATTTTTTTTATTGGGTAATTCGGAATTCAAGAAAAAATTATTTTCTCGAAAATTATTGTCCTGATCGGCAAAGTTCTTTAACCAAGAGACGCGGAAGATCCGGTACTATAACTGCATTTTTTCGATTATATACATGGTTTTTTAATTATGGACAAAAATCTAAAAGACCCTGAAAATTATTCTTTACCACATCAAATTATTAGCCGTAAATCAAAATTCGTCAAAAATATGACTAATTGGTTTACACATTACTATAGGCCGCATATCAAGAGTTATAATATTTGACTATGACGTCACTTACTATTACTACGTGGTTTCAGAAAACAAGTATTTTCGCGAAAAGCAGTTGCTCTATAGGATAAACTCATAAAAGGAAACAGAGCTGTAACTTATACTTTAAGCATTTTTTGGATTATTTATTATTAGCCGTAAATGAAAAACTATTAAATATGGGATAATTCGGTTTGAACTGTATTGTAAACTATTTCGAGAAAGAGGTTCAAGTATCGTCTATCAAACAGGAAGGAAGTTCTGCGTGGGCATTGGAGTCATTGGAGTTTATAAAAAAATATTAATAGTTTCTGTACTATTAAGATAATTAGCGAAAGATGTCGGTTTCGTTTTTCTTAAGTTGCTTAGTTCACGTTATCAACTATGTTTAAATTTTCTTAATGTTTTATTAAAGAATATATGCAGAGTCTACAAGGTAATCAACCATAGCGGTGATTAAAAAGTGTAGTCCTGCAATTTACTAACTTCGAGCGAACTTTTAATAAGATTAAATTTTAATCGCAGTTTCGTAATGAAATAAGTACGAAACTGGTCGCTTTCCGATAATTAACGTAGGTACTCGTCCACAAACTGTTTACGTTCGCTTTTACGGGATAGGGATTACTGCTCGGCACGGTGGAATTTCGAAACATTTTATTCTGATAAATGAATATGCGCTAAGGCGTAAAAATTTTCTGAGAATTCATATCAAGAGATTGTTTACTTTATTTGAAATCAAATCGCGCAATACAGGGGCCGATGAAATAAATCTGGATATGATATTATTAAGCTGTGATATAATTCTCCCTTATATTACTAATATCCTTAATTGAATTTTGGTCCATCGGGAATTGCTTACTATGTGGAAAAAATCAAAGGTAATCCGCATTCTTAAAAAAAGATCCTCATTTTGACTTATATTATGAGTCCTTTCAAAAGTTGTAGAAATAATTATGAATTGTCAAATTAGGGAACACTGAAAAGTCTTTAATATACTTCCGGAATATGATTCTGGTTTTAGGCCAGGTTACAGCTGTACAACTGCGTTGTTAAACATTACCGACGATGTATTTCGAACTGTCGATATTGGTAAGACAACTCCACTTGTGCGGTTGGATTATTCTTAAGTTTCTGAACTTAAATCATGAAAAGCTACTTGGGAAATATTCAGTTTGTACAAATAAGAAAAAAATCAAGCAATTGCTGCTAAAAGTAAGTGCAGTCTTCGTTTGGACTACAGACGTTTAAAACCTTTCAGCTAGTATCCAGTATTATGTTCCAAACAAATAGTTGTTCAATATACTGTACGAAACTCACGAATACGAACAGGCCATGGAGGCAGAATGCTCAAACAATTGCAATACAAAATGCCCTATTGAAATTGGTGTAACAAAGATATTCGTTTAAAACCAACGGGAAATTCACACTAGATGTGAAGCTGATTTGATAGACTTGAAATCACACAACTATGACGATTACAAATTTACAATGGTTTACGAAAATCACCTGAGAGCGGAAGGAGCAGCATATCACCTTATTCAATTTTTCTTAATATTTGGTGCTCCCGCTATATTGCCATCGGAAAATAGCAGAGTATAGTAACCAACTAACCAAAACTATGCACTATGTGGACAGGTGTTAAGATAGTGTGTCTGACAAATATTAAAAATAGGCATCGCATCCTTATCTATCGTCAACGGGCAAATTTCAAATACTTAAGCTGAGTATTGATGGCCATGTTTTATATGTAAGTGAAATGGATGACCAAAATACCATCGCCACTGGTGTACAACCCAGCACATCTTTAACTCAAACATTGACTGATCTAAAACCAATTACACCTTCATATCAAGTGCTGACTAGGCAGCACGAACTTATTAATTCAAAAGATAATCTACTACTTCTTCTCTTCTCCAAGTGTTGTTGGCGATCAGCATTGCTATTTTGCTTTGTTGATGGCGATTCGGAAAAGTTCTGCTGATGATTTGTTAAACCACATTCTAAGGTTTACTAACCAAGATATTCTCCTTCGACCCTGCGATCCCTTACTGTCAATTTTGCCTTGGAGGATTTGTTGTAATAGCCCATATCTATCTGGGTTCCTCATAAGTTTCTGACATTTTACGGTATCAAGCATTTCAGTTTCTTTATTCATACGCCGCAATACTTCTATGTTGGTAATTTTTTGATTTCAAGATATTTTCAATATTCTCCTGTCCAGCCATAGTTCGAATGCTTCCAGTCTCTTGGTGGTTTCTTTAGTGAGTGTCCAAGTTTCTACGCCATACAGAAGGACCGAGAAGACGTAGCAACGCAATAGTTTGAGTTTCATGGGTAAGGACAGATTGTGGTGACTCTTAAAAAGGGAGCTCATTTTAATAAATACTAAGAGGGCCTTCTGGACAGTTGTCCCGGTTCTCGTTTATGGTTGTCCCCAAGTATGTGTACTGCGTTACTCTTTGTATTCTACTTTGGTTGATGTATAAATTTGGAGTTTGGTTTTGTTTCTATTCATTTCCAAACCGTACTGTGAGCTAGCCTCAGTCACAATATACATTAGTTTTTGTAGTCCTTGAAGACTATCTGCAAACATTATAGTGTCATCTGCATACCTTATGTTGTTTAGTTTACCACTATTTATGGTTATTCCTTCTTGAATACTGTGAAGTGCCTCTCTGAAGATGTATTTTGAAGCAACAAAAATGTCGCGAAAAAACAGTGTTCTGTGGTCCAAATTCGTGATACCATAAAAATTAAAGCTTCCGAGAGAATTCAGACTTTTATAAATTAGCACCTTCAAACAGCCGTTCGCCAATCAATTTGCAAAGAAGTTCACTTCCATGGAAGAGATGTCAGCTCAAGAAATTTCGGTAAGGGAAGCGGCTTTTGCTAATTACTAAAGTGTGGAGGGCAATGCTATACACGCTGCAACTGTTCCAGGTCTAAATGTAGCGTTCTGGTATAATTTAAAGTGTCATGGTGGCTTAAGTTTTTACAATAAATATGGTTTCCATACATTTACTTCTTTTTTTTTATTTCAGCTGAAAGAAATAAAATGCATTGTATTTTTATATTAATATTAAATATGTGTGTTGTGTTTGTTTTAAGTTCAACTTCTTCATGTTCATTTGAAAACTTCTTTTTCTTTTTTAATTTTAATCAAAGAAATAATAATATATAAAGTTTTATTTTTCTTTTGAACATACACAATGATGAATGTTGAGATTCGCAGGTGACAGTTAGAAATAATGAAATGTATTTGATGACTACATCGGACATACGCCAAGTAACTTGGTGAATGTTGATATTCCCTGCTATATCGTGACAATCAGCGGTTTTCAGACTTTTACGGTAACATATACATACATTGTCTGTTTACTTCAATAACTCATATTGACAATTATAAATGTATGGTTTAAACATGTTTGGGCAAAAAATTATTTTATGTTCAATTTTTTATTTTATTAAAACAATTTTAAGTTATTGGGATATATTTTTTTCGCAAATCAATTAAGAAGTTGATAACATTGACATCCAACAAATGTGGGTTAAGCAAGTTGGAACTCCTCCGCATTACTATCGAGAAGTTCGAGAATTTTTAAATAATCATTACCCCCACAGCAATGGATCGATGAGCCCCTGAATCTTGTGACCTAACACCACTAGATTTCCTTTTGTGGGGATATGTTAAAGATCATGTTTAGCAAATCTGTGAATGTGAATGAATGAATGAATAGAAAAATATTAAACATATGCATCCAAGCAAAGGGGCATATGTTTAAACATTTATTGCCCATAATAAAAATTAAAAATCAGATAAGTTGAAGTTTTGAATCTTCTGCATATCTCTAAAAATTATACATTTTTTAATAAAATTCATCATCATATTTTAATTCTAAATGAAATATATTTTTTAGGATTCACTATGATTGTTTACTATTGAGAGGATGTACTGTAATAATTGATTTTCAGACCATGAACGGACACAAAACAGAAATTAAGCATGTGGCGAATATTTCTTGCCAAAATACAAATAAATTTTAAAACTTTTAACGCAAAATTACATTTGGAAAGTAATAAGTCAGTGGTTTTAGGACTTCTTCTGCATTTCAACAAAATTTATCCTTTCGTCCGTTTTTTAAACATCCTGCATACACAAAATGCGACATCCAATAGGCAGGTTCAATTAAAAAACTCTGTTTAACAACACCCCCTGTACTTTGGCGAACTGTGTCAGGCCTATAGCAGCGGGTTTGAGCACGCTTGCGTTTTGCAGACACCACAACTTTTAAAGCAACGAAAACTTCCGCCTGTAGTTCAGTTACAGAGAATCATGAACGGTGAAAATGAGGTGCCATAAATTCAGAAATGTCTTTTTGCTGTGGTTTTCTTTAGCGCTGCTGACCTTCGGATTGTGTAGCAGTAAGTAAACGAATCTGATTTAAGAAATATTGAAAATAAAAATGTTTGACGCATCTAAAGTTTTTTTTTATATTTCTCATACCGGGAGTTTTATCTAAACGATATTATTATTCATTCGTTGAAAAAACATCAAATTAATTTTTTTAAGGAAATCAGTGGCGTACCACGGACTGTTTATGAACAAATAATGTTTTGGTTAATTAGGTGGCCACTGCTTAGGTTAAATCCAGATTTTTTTACTTAAAATTAAAATATCTCTTTAAAACAAAATACTAAAACTACTTTGCTTCAGAAAATAAAATTAAAAGACGATTCTTTTTAGTTTTACAGTTTTAATGAAATAAAATAAAATCCTAACAAGATAAATGATAAACTATTGTTATTAAAAAAAAACACTATATACTATTAATAATTTTGAACAAAAATGTTTGTTAATAAATTAATAACCTTTTTGAAAAAATGTAGACCATAGAAACTAGATAAGTTGCTCCCTTCCTCATATTACCGCGCACTCTTTGAATTATACCTCCAGTGTTTCTTACTAATTCGCAGGAAAACTATACAAATTGTGCAAATATTTCATTGCATTTCTGGAAAAGTTAGCTTCATCTGTAGATAGTACTTCTTGGTCAAACATGGGATAATGGGCAATTTTGTCCAAAAACCATTGGGAAATATTAACACGCATGACATGGGTGCAATTAAAAATCATGCAAACCAAAATGTACGAGATATTCAGAATATTTCCAATTTTTCTGGTACTAAGTTAAGGATTTTCATCAATAGAATTTAAAACAGCTTTCTCCAATAATAATAATAAATAATTATTTGCTTTCAAAGTATCTGTTTCAGTAAACATTGTAAGTACATTTAAAAATGTTCGCAATATATCTTAAAAACCACTTTTAATTAAAAAAAAAAAAGCGATTCCTAGTCCATTTGAAATATCTCGCAAATATTTTTCAAATTGGGCACAACACATATTAATTTTTTTGCAATTTTTCAAAAAAAAAATCATATTTAAGGTATCCAAAAACCAAAAATCAAAAATTGGGGGCCTAAAAAAAGAATAAGTTTTATTATTTTATGGCGGATGGAAATTAAATGAAGTGAAATTTTCTCTTTTCATATTTCAGGCAACAAGGTATACCGCGTCTCCTTGAATGGAGACCGCTCTGTATCGCTACACTGGAAACTAAATTATCAGGACAACGCAGTTGATTTTGAAATACATTTGCCGGACGAATTCGGCTGGTTCGCATTCGGTTTTTCCGACAGGGGAGCATCGTTCCCCGCGGATTATTGCCTGCTCTGGAAAAATACGAAAGGGAAACTCAGTCTACAGGTGCGTGAAATGACCCTGCCGACTCCGTTAACGGTACCACAGCAAACCCCAGGAAAATAGTTATAGAACATAGTACTTTTTTAAATTAAAAACTATTCAGTTTAGGCATGTATTAATAACATTAAAAGAACAGTTGAAGAATTTTAAAAGGAATTCGGAACACAATTTAAAAAAGGATGTTTTACTTTTAAAAAAATGTTTTAAAAAAATGTGCGCTTATAAAATAATTTTAGATTGTGCATCCTTAAAATCTTTTAAACTCTTATTTTTACATTTTTTTCATAACTTGCTTATACAGTAAACTTCTAAAATGTGGAACACATTCATTTAAAAATCAAAATTTCTGGCAATTTTTGCACATTTTTTGGATTAAACAGAAAATATCGTGTGATTCAAAAAGCAGTTCCGTTTTTTAAATAGAACAACCGTTGCTTACCGAGTTCTGTGTCAAATTTCAAGCAAAATTTATACAGCGTACCAAATATCTATCCAAAACTTAGTTTTTGTCAGCAAAAAATTAAAAAAAAAGAAAATTAATTTTGAAATAAACAGGTAAGTCCCTAGGACCATTAAAGTTCTGAAATTGTCACAGTTATCACATGACATATCAGCAAAGCAAGTGAATATGGGGCTTCTAAATGAAATTTTAATTTTCCATGAAGGCAAAACAAGAACTCAAGAAGAAATCTGTAATTTGTTTAACGAAAAATATCTAGAAAGACCCATTACAAGATTCACAGCGAGTAAAAATGAGACAAAATTGTTGCCCTTTCTTTCTGTGAAAATACACATTTACAAAAACATAACTTGATTCGAAAACATCAATTTTTTTTATTATTTTTTTGTTTCTTTTCATGTCAATTTCGAATAGTTAAAAAAAACTTTTCATATAAAAACTTTTTTCTATTTTCTGTTGTGAATTATCAGGAAACACCTGAATCTGAGTTAGCCCGGTCACTTTTGCCAGTATTTCATTTCTTTGAAGGACACTTGGGCCAATGATAACGGAGTTTTGCAACTGGACAAGCAACAAGACTGCAAGAACTTTCGCGTCACGGAAAGGAGAGGTACAACGAAATTTGCGTTCACCAGAATTTTCGACACGTGTGACGATGAAGATTATATCATCGAGGTAAATTTACGGCATAATGCGGAATTTAATTTTGGTAAATTTTTATGAAAATCTAACCGTAGGCCTACCTAGCTTAGGATTATCTTTGTAACACTCAATAAATACATTCGCAATTCCACAATGGCGTTCCAGAACCTTATTTTGGTACTTCGTGCATACAAATTCTGAAAACTGATGGATTTGTGTAGAGTTTCATAAATTATTATTAGCCATACAATAAAAAATCCATTCTAACTAAATACAACAGTCCGCACGGCAACATCTTAAATACGGCCATGGCTTGTGGTACACGTGCTGAAAGGAATCGTCTCTTCCGCTTTAAAACAGACGAATATATTTTGGAGAATACTCAAAAACAATAACAAAGTGTATTTTCACCATTTAGGATGGAACGACGCATATTGTGTGGTCTAGAGGTCAGCACAGGCTGTATCAAGCCAAAGGAGTCAACGTAAGCGTTTCTGGCAGAGAACATTTCGGGATGGTAAGAGTGCATCTTTTGAAAAATACAGAAACCGACGACAAACTGCCGCCGTATGTGCAAGTCCTGGACCTTTTGGTCGATAAAGTAAAGGTGCCAGCGGTAGAAACCACTTATTGGTGCAAAGTTTTCAAGCTGCCTCGGGAATATGGACAGAAACATCATATTTATCAGGTAACTCCATTACATTGCAAGACATTCATTATTATTAATTATTTTTTGTCAATAATGACAAGGGTCGCTTGAAGTTTCCCACCTAATAATGATACAACACATTTTTTCTCCTTTTTCTGCATAGTGCCCTTGTAACTCTATACACTTCTCCCAGCCATGTTCCCATCTCTTTAACCTGTCCAAATAGTACAACCGCAAACTATTTGTTCACGAAGGCGATTTTTTTTTAATAACAATTTATTTCAGACCTCTAAACAGTTAACAATAAACTGGCCCCGAGGCCTTACAAAAACAAAAATATATATAAAATTCTAGTAAAATTAAATATAATAGTTTGTTAATATAACTTTATATTCTATTTTTTCTTATAAAGTCTTTAAGAGTTATGAAACATTTTCCTGGTAGTACACCTTAATAGAGTTTGTGGTATTTTATTAAACACCTGAATACTTCTGTATCCATCGATGCCTGGTTCACAAATATTTTTTAATGAGTTAATCGGTTCCTTTATTTCTAGGATCGTTGTTGGTTCCAAAAATATGCTAGCCACAACTTCTTCCTCTTCAAAATTTGTATTGGACTGTTGCTTTATTTTGTTGGCTAAAGTTTCTCCAATTTTTAAAAAGTGTATATTAAATTCTTTACCTATTTCTTTATCGTCTTTAGTGGGTTGTCCACTTGCATTAATTATTTGACGTATTTTTTTGGTTTTGTTTTTCTTGGTGTTCGTTATTTCGTTTAAAATCTTCCATATCTTCTTTTGCTTCATTAAACTTCTTTTCAGCTTATTGTTTCTGGAGCGTTGTTCTTAAGTTATTTAATACATTTCTTGCTTTTTTATATTCGTTTTTACAGTATTCGTTGTTATTTTTTTTCCATCTAACGTAAAGCTTGTCTTTTTCCTTAAGCTTGGTTAGGTATTCTTCAGTTATCCAGTAATTCTTTTGTTTTATTTTCACTGTGTATACTTTTGTACAAGTTTTCGTGGTGGTCGTTATTATTTCAGCTAGTTGTTGTTGAGCTACTCATCTTCATTTAGGTAACTTCTTTCTAATTTTTCCTTCGTCTTTATAATTATCGCTTTCTTCAATTCTACGGACATTACTTTGTGATTCGATACGTCGCTGTCCTCCAGTTTGATTGTGCATGTTAAATCTTTATTTGTTATTATGTGATCTCGGATAGATGCTGTAGTTTCAGTTTGTCTAGTTGCATTTTGTGGCAGTATGTTTTCGAATTTAAAGTTTGGCAAAAAGTTCACAATTACTTTGCGGTGGTCTATAGATACCTATAACAGTCAGCTTCTGCTTTGGTAGATAAAGCAGTTCAACTTTGTGCTTATCGTTTTGCAGATACCTTAGTTCCTTTCTTATATGTATACTGCATCCTCCTCCTCGCGTATTCCTTCAGTTATGCAACGCTACCTAGTTGATATGTTATAACAATTTTTTTCATTTGGGTATATCCAGGTTTCTGTCACAGCTATTATATGTATGATTTTATTTTGATTTAGAATAATGTCATTGAAATCCTCTAACTTATTTCTAATACTCCTTATGTTTAAATATAGTACATTAAGTTTTTGCTCCATTTTTGGTTTTGAACAGTTTCATTATATCACAGTTAGTATATATTTTTCTAGGATGAATTTAAGATTTATTTTAGGTTTAAGTCGCTTTCACTTCTTACTCTGATTGGTCGGTCAGTATCCTGTACTTTAAGGTATATTTTTCCATTGGCCACATACGCTGCACTTAATTTATTTGCTTTTTTGTAATCCCTGGTTTGTTTAAAGAGATATGGGTTTCGCTTCGTTAGATCATCATTAAAGTACATCTTTTTATTCTGTCCGAGTAATCCACATTCTCTTACCTTGATGCCACTTAATATTTTAACGCGTTTGGCCACTTTTTGTTTACTTTGTGTATCTCTAAACTTCACAAGTAGTGGAGCATCTTTCTTGGTACTTATTCGGTGTACCTCCAGAATGTCATCCTTACTTATTTCCACTTTCATTGTTCACTTTTTGTAGTACACTTTGGGACTTTTCTTTCTGGTCTGGGATCCCTGGGACTAGTAGAGTTCGTTCTACACCTTAAGCAACCGTTCAATAATGCTTTCAATCTTCTTTTCATCCATTTGCTTTCATTTTTCAACTTTTTCCTGTACTATAACCTCACTTTCAGCACGCGTGGTGCAATAATTAATTTTGTTTTCTTTATTTTTGACTCCCGCCTGCACTGCGTAACTGGGCTGCTTTTTTTTGCAATGTTTGCACTTTTTTTCGCTTTTTAAAAATTTACCTTCTGTACTAGACCTTCTGTACTAGACATAACCTATAAATATCTTCTTACGAAATCTTTGTCGTTCGAGTGCAGATCTCAGATGAAGCAGCAAAGAGAAGTCGCTTGGTTCTAGATCTGGTAAGTCTGATGGTCAAACAGTAATGTGCCCGTTTTTCTGCAATTTCTGTCCTCAGCTTGTCAAGAAATGATGCATAGTGTGCTCCTGTAATAGTTTTTCCCTTTTGAAGGTAATCGTCAACAGTCGCCATCACTTTCCCAGCCCAAAAATCAGTTTCTGCTTTTTTCGGAGTCAGTTCCCCCTTAGTAGTCCACTGTTTTTACTGTATGTTTAATTCGGGAGTATAATGGTGTACACAACTTTCATGAGCTCAGTTTAATCCGGTATTTCATACTTGAAGAATCGCCAAAACTCCTTTTAAAAATAGTTCGTGGATATTATGCAGATGTCTTATAAACTGCTCTGAATTGTTATCGCAAATCAGTTTTCATTTTCCTTCGCGGGCAATGAGAACATCACCCACGTTCCACCATTTCCTTCCACCAACGTTTTGGTAAGAAGTCCACTCGTTTAAGCAATGGACATCTTTAATTGTATTTGTAGTGATATAGACGGCAATGGTCTAATGCCTGCTAAGTTTACTTTGACATTACATTTTTACATTTCAGATAATTATTTTAGACACTGTTAGTTCATTTTTTGGTTTTGTTGGTGTGTGACGAATTTAAAGTATCAAATTTCAATCAATCAATCGGACAAAAATAGTGTATATCGACAATTGAATAATACAAAATTGTCAAATCAAAACGGTAACGCGTGTTTTAGTTCGAAGCAAACATCCAAGAATCTAGTCAGGGACTGGTCCACCACATGGAGCTGTTCCACTGCGAGACGAAAGTCGGCGAAAACTTTCCTCTTTACTCGGGGAATTGTTTCGCAGAGGAGAGACCCCCCACCACTCAGGTTTGCAAGAGAGTAATGTCGGCGTGGGCGATGGGAGCTCCCCCTTTCACATATCCAGAGGTAAATTTAAATGAACAATCTCGAAACTTGGTACAAAGAATGGTAGCGGGTGATTATTTATAACATCTCCCCCACCAACAAATAAAAGTTATATATTTTTCATTTTAGCAGTGTGTTATACTCTTAATAAAATCCCCTCAAAATTATGCACACTTCTCGTCATATACCCAAATCCAATGGTCTTTAAGATATATGCTCTTTTAACATAAAAGCAACATTCAAAAATGAAATAATATCCTAGAATTTATAATTTATATGTAAAGGGTGATTCGATAAGGGTAAAATAATAAAAAAAACTCGGAAGAATATAAAAATATACAAACAATTTTATTTGCCATTTTAGATTAGCGTATTACAATTAGGTATGAAAGATGATGTCATTCAAATGACCTCCGCGACGCATGTGGCACTTTTTGAAACAATTCAGGTTCTATGTCGGCTATTTCACGTCTAATCTCCTGTTTCAGCTCTGGAATAATGTTTGGTTTATTTCTATACACTCCGCTTTTTAGATACCCAAAAAAAAAAATCTAGGGGAGTAAGATCACATGATCGCGGCGGCCAATTGATATCGCCGTTACGTGAGATAATCCGACCAGGAAACTTGCATCGTTTCTCTGGATGTGTGACAAGTAGCTCCATCCTGTTGGAACCACAAATCTTCAATGTCCATACCTTCCAACTCCTCCCAGAAAAAATCAGATATCATGTTTCGATAGCGAACACCATTAACCGTTACAGCGTTCTCCGCATTATCCTCGAAAAAAAAAGGGCCAGTTATTCCTCTGCACCAAAATTCACATTTGAGGATGCATTGCTTTTTGAACAATCTCTCTTGAATTTTCAAATCCCCAAATACGAGCATTGTGTTTGTTTACATACAAAGCCAACGTGAAAATGTGCTTCGTCGCTAAAGATGATTTCCGTTGAAAAATGAACCCTTTGTTGATGATCCGGAGGTTTCAACTCCTGAGTTATTTGGACTTTATATGGGTGTAGATGCACGTCTTTTGTTAAAATTCGCTGTGTGGTTGAATACGTAAGGCCCACTTGCTGCGATCGATCGCGAATCGATATGTTTGGATCTTCGGCTACACTTTCCAAATTGTCCTCTCAGAAGGTCGATTTTGCGAAAAATTCACGTAGAGAGAGTAAATGCATTGTTTCTTGATCGATCATTTTTATAATAGGCTTGCACAATTTTTACACGTTGTTCAGTCGTATATTGCTCGATGACTAATTTTGTTTATGTTTTGAAATTTTGAAATTCTTATTGAATCACCCGTTATAACAAAATATTTGTGGGTGACAGTGTCAGTTAGCAGTTACAGATTTAGCAAAACTTACGTTCTTTTTATTATAACATGCCTTATACTGATAGAGAAAAATAATTAATTTTAGATTTTTCACAGACGGCTGTAATACTTTTTACCAAACTTCTGGATTCCTCCTGCGTCGGTTTTTGCTGAGTCGAACTGGTTGACGTTCCGCCAATTATCCTGTTGGCTTCTTCAGAACTTGACTGAAACTGGTTCGCATTTTACTGTGTACCTACTTAAATATTCCTTGAAGGGGGCGGAGCTAAATAAGGGGTCTAAACACCGTCTCGGATAACTGATTCCCATATTAATGACAGGTAGATACCTGAGTCGCGGTTAAGGTTGTTTATAGATTTCTATTGACTCTCGCATTTTTCGTTAGCAGAAGAATTGATTACATGTAAGAATTTTAGTTTTATGAAATAAAATTTTATATCCGGTTTCGTGATTGTGTTCGGCAACAGCTGATGAGTTTATTTGTCTTACTCGACGACCGAAGATGTTGATAGATTTTTGGACAAGTGCTAAATCTGGTTTTGACGTTATACCTCTTTAGAACTTTTACACTTCACGACAACTTTCCAATAGTAATGAGGCCGAAATAAATCCTACATTTGCCACTATGATCCTTTCATGAATTCAAAACATCACTGACCCCATATCAAAAGTTCTAAAGAACCAGATTTACCACTTGTCCAAAAATCTCTCAATGTCTTCGGTCCGTCAAATTCCATTTGAGATGCTAGGAGTTTACAGCATTCCATATTATTCCAATATAGCAACTAGGCTTAAAGAACATGAAAGAGCCAAAACTAAAATTCTTGCATGTAATCAATTCTTCTACCAACGAAAAATCCGAGAGTCTATAGAAATCTATGAACAACCTAACAATCTTACCTCTACTACCTGCCTACCAATATGAGAATCAGTCAATGCGAGCCAGTTTCAGTCAAGATCTGAAGAAGCCAACAGGATGATTAGCGAAACGTCAGCAAGTTCAACTCAACAAAAACCGACGCAGCAATTAATTTTAGAAACGAAAATAAGAGACAACATGTAAATGCGCGTTCTAGACCAAAAAAAAATCGTTCATCGAATCTATGAAAAATGTCAACATCCAGCCTAGCCAGTAAGAAGAGAACATTGGAAAGAGATGAAGATAGTGATTCAAGGAGTTTGATAATGGTCGACTTAATCGTCATTATTGCATTATTATTCAACAGTACGGGGTACGGGACGTGCAAAACCAAAACTTAATATGTGGCGTGGAATAAAACACTTTAAAGTTATTGGACGATATTTAAAATTTTTGCAGAAGGATTTATCTTAACTTCTTCAAAAAGTTGATAGCATTGAGATCCAACAATTCTGACATTAAATATGTACTGGTAAGAAGCCAATCTTAAAACTCGATGACCCATTTCATAAATTATTTCGTCTGTAGCATACCGCAAGTATATTTTGTAATTTTTCCCAATTTTTAACAACTCCGCTTACTGCGCAGCCAATTGATAATTTCTTTTTTTCTTGTCGATGCATTTGGTAAACTTTTACAAAGTCTAGAATGATAGCGTGCATTATCCATAACAATTAAGGACGGCCTTTCGAGTTTCTGCAGCGGATATTCGAAAATGCGACCAGTTTTATAGCGGAAGCTACGGTGATTATCCGGTAATTGGTGCTATCTCTGTCGACTGTACAGCACCGGGACGCAATAGACAAAGACAGAACGCTTCCTTGCTAGAAGTGGGTGCGTTTTGCCGTTTTTGTATACGATTGGAAGCAAGTAAAATACTGAGGCACCTTTTCTCTTGGTTTTATCATTGACTATGTCATGGCAAATCGTACCCACTATAACTATGGTTTTACTATAACTATACTGAAATAGACTATAGGCTGGTATTCTTTATTTTCCAGGAAGCGGCATTACCATTGGGAGGGAAAAATTTTAACCCATACGTCATGCTGGAAATTCACTACAATAACCCAGAACTCAAAGCAGGTATTGAATAGTAATCACAGTTGTTTGCGTCTGTCGCACAGAACATTTTTCTAAGGTCAAATTACATTTAATGGCTTTACAACAAAATAATAAAATTTCAAATTGAAATTTCGAAGTGCTAATAGTATATTATGCAACAAGTGCGGTAAACGCCATTCGACTCACGAGTTTATTTGACACGAGCGGAGCGAGTGTTTAATAGACCAGTGACCTAAAAAGTTTGTCTGTGATTATTAAATAGTCCACTAGACTTTTTATGGGGCCAGGCCAAATAGACTGGACCAAAAGCAATTTAAATTTTGAAAGAAAACAAAAACCAAAGATTTTACCTTTTTTTTTCCAAGTGAAAATGTATAAAAATATTCGATTTTTCTCAGTTACTTATTAATTAATTAAACAGAAAATGCCATTATTAGCTAGTTTTGAGACCAAAAAACATTTGAAAAACATTTTCACCTCTTATTTCCAAAACGAATAGATTCAACGCCACAAGTGAGCAAAAAAACATTTATAAGAGCATAAAATAATATACAGGACGTTCCATTAAAAAAAATTATGAAAACATCCCATCAAATCTTCTCAAAGATCAATAAAAATAATGAAATTTTTATATTTGTCCTTTGTATATCTTATGGGTGACCCTGTAGATACGGTGTAAAAATATACGATAATACGTCATAACATTGGTCGAGATTCCTACTGTGCAGATTTTTTTTTATTATTTAATTTTTTCCTATGCCTACTGTGCAGATTTTTTTTTATTATTTCATTTTTTCCTCAAATTAAAAAAAAACAAAACTATGGCTTTTTGTTTTTGTTTGTAAATACCTTTTCTTCATACCTGCGCATGTCCTGTGATCCTCACTCAAGAAGTATACATAACACATAAATAACCTAGTTTTTTTTAAGTCTCAAACTGCACTTACCACAAGGGTCAGAACGATGATCATTTTAGTATTTTCTTATTCTTTTTGCAACAAAATATTCCAACCAATATTGATACTTAATAAATAGTTTTTACTGTTTTTTAGGTTTTGCAAATATGTACATATATTTTATAAATTTTTCGCCATAAACATGGTAAATTGTCCACCTTTTAAAAATTGCCGGATGTGTTAAAAGACACCTCTCCAATAAACATATTAATTTCTTCATTTACCGCAAATTTAGGTAACTATATTTTTTTCAAGTATTAACAAGTTTACCCGAAAATTTGTAGTATCACGATTGTAACGGATGATGTAATCATCATCTTTCGTAGTTTCGAATTTCCCTATTATCACAACCGGAGTCACAATGGCGGCAAAATTTCAAACATACCTCGATTCTGCGTGAAATGACATGTCTTGCCGATGTATCCGTTGATAATTTGTAAGTCGAAGCAGTGATCACTCAAAACAAAAACAAACATATATCTAAACAGTGATTTCACGAACAGCCAATATCATTGATGGCGATTTCCAAGTTTCGATTTTGCACAATTTTGGCCAGTTTACGTTCCAAAACAGATGATACCTTCGTTTGGTTCGACATTCTTTCGCTAGATGGAGCACTCATAAATTATATAGTCTGTGCTACAATGGTAATTTCTTTATTTTGCTTATTTTAGGCATATTTTATTAATTTATCATTGACAGTTTCTGATGAAAATGTCAACCAAAACACTAAACATTAAAAGCCTAGAAGCTCCATAACAAATTACATTATAATATTTAAATATATGCTGTTCCCTTGCCTGGGCGAGTGACTCTGATGCATTAACAACGGGCAGAGTTCACGCGTCTTTCGCAGTATTGATTAAAATGGGACTTATTTAAGGAATGAAAAGTTCGATGGATTGAAAAACGTAGTTTGTGCTGGAAACTATTGTTTTTTAAGTCTCCACTTATCAGTTCGTGCTGAGTACCGTGTACCACGACATTCGTCTTTTGATCACACCTTAAAGTATCACATTTAAGGGTTTGAAATGGATTTTAAGAGCATTAGGTTTGTTAAAATGCTTGGTGAACATTGGTTCGGTGTTATAAATTGTTTAGTTGTGTTGCATTACCCACATATTTTTCTTGGTGAGTGAATTTTAGACATGTTTTTTCGTTTTGTTTTAAAAATAAGTATTTATAGGAATTGCACCCTAGGACCTGGCAAGACTGTTCTGGAATTTTAATAGCTAACAGGGATTAGAGCCGAGGAGATTCATGATGAGCGTTTCAAGTGGAAACAAGAATTGTAAGTACTAACCTATTCTTTGCAGCAAGCTGCATCATACTGACTTGAACCAGAATCCTTGCAAATTTGTATATGTAAAGATTTTTAAAACTCCCTTGTAGTTTGGTGTTCAGGCTTCTTGTGGTGGCGGTATTAGATAATTTGTTCGTCCACTTTATGGATATATTCACTACTCTAATTTTGACTTGATTCATTCCTAATGTATTATAATTAATATATTTGTAAGAACCACATTGTAGTTATATCACTTTGGGTGGGCATGTGATACTGAGAAGTGCTGTGCTAGTAAAATATTAAGGTAATGTTTAAAATATTACAAATAACCCGTTCCCAAGGGCTTGTAGCATTATCGTGAAAATCAAATTTTCAATAAGTTTATTTTAAAATTGCACTTTTCAGAAAAATCTATAACTCAGGAATTTTGATTACTCTTGTTGTGGATCTGAGTGCAGCAGATGAATGAAGAGAATAGTAGGCCTCAAATAAATCTACTTCTAGAGTTTAACGAAACAAAAAAGTGGACCAAGAACTAAAACTGATAAACTAATAATCTTATAATTTTTTCACTGACCTGAGGAAGTTGTACAAATGTTGTGTTGATATGAAGTATATGAAGGTATATCTGTTGAAAATAATTGGTTATTAGGTAGGTAACAAGAGTGAAGTGAGAGCTGTAGGGATTCCTTCAGGGGTTAAGTATATGCTTTTCAATTTTAATTTTTACCATTTAAACATCACTGAAGGTGGTGCAGATTTTGTAAAACCAAAAATCAAGCTAAACTAGTTTTGAACTAGTAATAGGCAGCATATTATTAATTAAACAATGTTTGATCCAAGATGATGAATAGGCAATTGAGTGTTTCCCATTTTGAGTGTCATTTACCCCACGAATAATCCTCTGGGAATAATTTTTGTATATGTCAATGGAAATGATGGGTTACTAAGGGAAATGGTGGATTTTATGGGAATATTAAAAGGATATCAGCTGATTTTATGGGGTCTCAAAAGAGAGTGAAGAAGTCCAGCATTTATAGGATAGTTCTTTTAAAAAGTATTGGTACCATTGCTACCAAAAGTAACAGGGATATTATTTTTCCACACTTTCCATAAATTAAGGCATGTTTCAATATGTATTTATTAAATAAAGTTTTATGGTTATTTGCAGATTAGCTTCTCATTATAAAGATAAATAATTTAATGTGGGAAAAAATGTTGGCACTAACTTCCGGTATGACTTCAAGTACTTCAAATTTGTGTTATAGTTGCTTATGTTAGTTATATTGAGACACCCTGAATTTAAAGTTATCAATGAAATTAGCCTTTTGATAAGTAATGTTATATTTAAATGTAACAATATATAGCAGTTATTTTATTGGGCCCTAAGCAGTAAGCACCGAGGTTTGAGTGTTTAGAATTCAGGTAAAGAATTTTATTTAATTGAACCATTTGCAGGTGGTTTCAAAGCAATGCGAAAAACTTAAGAGGTTTTGTTTAAAATAATGGGTGGTTTGTTATGTAAATGTTGGCTCAAAAAGGTCACCCAACTAACTCGGTTATCACAATCGATCAACTACAAGATGGTCGGTGAATCTCTCGGACTCGACGACGGAAACCAAAAAATCAATTAATATAAACAACCGTCCGGACAGTCTGTCCATTAATTGGGCATTTTCATTGTAGCCGAATTCTGGGTCTAGTTGATGCTTTTCCAACTACTGGTTAAGTTAAAAGTCTTCCATGCTTAAAGCAATTGTATCTGTGCTAACCCTTTGGCAAGCCATGTGAATGTCATTTACGGCGTCCAAGGTATCTATAGATTAGGCTCTAGTTTTTGTCACTTGTCACTTGCAACATCTTCAGACCTTTTCTATACTGGCATTTGGGAGGTACAATTTTCCAGTTCTTCGGTTTCTGTTCCTCATTCAACTCACATAACTCAGCTTTAGTGAATTTTGTTTTTCAAACATCTTGGATTAGCAGATTTTTCTATCGCCAACAATTTCCATTTTTCTGTTCCAGGCATGTTCACTGCCACTAGTACTCTACTGTACTGTAGTACGCAGAAAGGTAGACCATACATTGTTTAACCAATCGTTCACGGAATTCGTATCCACTCTGGCAGACTTTCCTACAATGTTTCCGCTATTGATATTGTGCCTCTTTGGAATCTCTCTACCACTACTATCATTTACAGGAACGTTTTTTTCCTTTTCTGAGTAAACCGCTCAAGAAGTCCTTTAACATCTTCTTGATTGTTTGTTTTTGTTTTGTCATGGTTGATAAAACCTTATATCTCTTTTTCTATGTGGTAGCAGCTTTAGATTTTCCAAACTTTAAATCCTGGCAAATTAAGAGACCCAATCCAATTCAATTAACTAAATTCTAAATATGTAGATTATATTCCGTTGCCATAGAAAAATGATTCGTTATAGAGGGAAATGAAGTAGTTGGGATTCGGAAAAATAGATATGTATGTAATGTATGTAAAAAATCGATAAAAATTGTGACAATTGTAACTCATATAATGTCGAACGGTAAATAATTGCGTACGTGTTTGTTGTAAAAGTATAATTTGTTAAATAGTACTCTTTATGATATTCATACCTATACTGTTTCTAGTTAGTTATCATAGTTATTGCTAACTTAAAAATTCTTGCCAAGTAAAAATCTGTATTCTGTTTTTCTAAATTTGACAATCTAAAATTTTTAGCTGCATTAGAACTTGTGGAAAATCATTAAATTAGTTTATTTTAGATAAAGTAAAAGATTGGAATATTGATATGCACTATGTTTTTTTGAAGTAGTCAAAACTTTGCTATTTGTTTGTCATTCTTTTTTTTTTCAGCTGTTGATATTCGCATTACGAAACTAATAAAATTTTGCTAATTTTCAGTTTTTTTCTTTTTCTTTGTTTGGACTTTGCGGAGATTTTCAGAACAGTCTGCGACATTCGAGTGCCTAAAAAGAAAATAAAACCATTAAAAACATAATTTATTAATTTATAGCATATGTATGCCAATACGCGCAAAATTTTCCTTTAATAAAATAGTAAAGGGTTTATTGGATTTTATTAAATTTATAGGGTTAACTTTTTTTGATTAGTGCCTCGAGAATCGTGTATACTCTATTCTAACATAAAGAAATGTATGTATCGTAAAAAATAAATATAAGCATCTAAAAATTACAAACAATTTTTTGCAAGAAAAGACAAAAAGGACTTGAAATTTTTTAAATAATAAATACCTTAATTCTTTTGAAATTGTTTTTGTGAATACCATCTTCTACCTTCTACTAAATGAAAAGTTAAATAAAAATGAAATAAGTAATAATGAAATAAAATATTATTTACTCACCTGTATTCGTTTCTGGCTGCTTATAATCACAAACATCAGGGTGATACTTTGAAGTATCCCTTGAATTTCTTTCGTGAAGATTGTACAAACAGATTTATTTGGATCTGATGCTTCAATGTAAAACTGTCATACGCAATTTTCTTTTCTTCCGGCCATTTAAATGTATTCACATAATGATCTATTTTCCTCTGGACAATTTATAGATCGGTGAAAAAAACAGGTCGCAACAGAAATTTTAAAGGGAAATACAGATTATTATGAAATTAAAAAAAAACAATTAATTTAAAGAAAAATGTTTTTTTTTAAACTAGCAAAAAAACGGAGACAATACATAGGGGGAATACTGTTGTTTCTAAAATAGGTATATAAATATTAAATTCTTTATGTAGGCTTTACTATTATAAAGTAAATATTAAGTTATTTACCTATTGTGGATATTCCAACCGATCCTCTATCTGAAGCAAAATAATTAAGACAGTGTCTTTCCTGGAATCCCGCAAACTAATTTGTGCGCTTCTTTATATTTCTAGGTATTCGTGTTTCTATTAAATCTAAATCATCTTCGACAAATTTCTTCTAGATCCTCGATCTCAACAAGTTTGGTTCGTTAAACAACACAAAAATAATATCAAACGCAAGGCCTTGAGGGCAACTTGACCGTCTCTTAATGTTCGCGGAAAAAAAAAACGCACTGAGCGCCGCTTCAACAGAATACGATTTCGCATGGCTAGCAATGTCTTAGTAATATTGTTATTTAACCATGGTCATAAAAACGTTTGTATTCCGTATACATTAGATTACCAAGAAACGATTATTTACCGTAACAATACGATTTGTTAATGTTCGCTAAAATCTGCTCGAGAAAAAATGTTATTGATACGAGTGCCTTTTTCTACTTATTGTATATTCGTCTCGAATATTGTTAATAAATTTTCTTTCTTTCCAATGATTTTTTTTATTTTGATTAAATTTAATGAGCTACGTAATTATTTAATATCTGTTATCGGCTCCAGTCGTTTGTTGCGTTCCCTGCAAAGTTGAATAGACAGAAATTCGAATCGATAGTCAAAACATTCAAAACCGTTGACGCTAGATGTGAGAAAACTGAAAATTAATCCTCAAACGGCATCAAAAATGGTTTACAATTTCTAGATTTTCTTTAGTTAGTACCATAATCGAGTAATTGAATAAATGGACATCCAGAATAAACAGGACAACATCCAACACAACTAAATTAGAACAAAAAATCACCAATCATTTTTCTAATTTAATTGTGTTAAGGGGATTTTGGTCAAGCAAAAGTCACTTCATTCAACAATATCCAACCCAATTCCCAACCTACATGCAAATTTTCCGAGAATTTATTTTGGGAATTGAATTGCTTTAGTCGGTGCTATTGAAGCAAACTTAAAAACCGGAATGCATTTTTTGACTTACCGTATGCTAATTCTGGTTAAGTGTAATACGGGGTGACTCATTAGTGCGAGATTCTCTCACATCTCCATAAGTGTTGGTTTTATCGAATTTTCATTGTGCAGGTAGAACAAAAATTCATTATCTTATTGGTTTCGAAAGTTATGAGAAAATTGTAGATACAAACGTTGCACAATTTAAAATTACACAGGGTGGCCCAAAGAAAGGTGACGAGTTATTCTAAAATTTTTAGCAATTATAGAATTCGCATAATAAATCAACGAAGATTATAGCGCAACACCCTGTATAATGGTAAAAAAAATGTGAATTAAGTTTCTCGCTAAAAATCACACAGAACTCAACATCAAATCGCTATTTTAGGAATCACCGACAATTCGGGTATTAGGCTGTATGTGTCGAATAAGTTGAGAAAGATGGACGCCGGTGTCATGGAGCTCGGCCTAGAATATACCGATAAAATGGCCATTCCTCCCGATCAAGACTTATTTCCACTTATTGGCTACTGCATAAGTTCCTGTACAAGCATGGTAAGTTTAAGCTACAAGTTCTTGTACCGTTTCTAGGGCTCTCACATTTTTGGGGCATTGAAATTACATAGCCCACCCCATCACTCTCATCCAAAACATTATCATACTTCTTAAGTTTCCTTATTATTGCCTCAAATTTTCTACAGTGATCTTTAAGTTTTTGCCCGGGTTCTGCATGTTCATACGTCTTCGTTAAGTAGATTGCTTAGTGAATGATTTTCACCTAGCGAATACAACTCTGAGCTTTGGTTGAATTCTCTTGAATTTATCTAAATGTATATCTGCTAAGCCTTGGACTATTATCGCTTGTGCTTCAGAATTCATGTTCACTCAGCTCTGTTTTTCAGTTTTTAAAGCTCTGTTGTAAGATCTCTCATGAAAATTATTTTAATTCTCAACTGTAGTTGTAGTTGCTTGAAAGATTAACGAAATTAACGACAGTGTCACATCATCGACTAAAACCCTCATAGAAACTTGAGGAAAACGGAATCGGAAGAACGCTTGCAAAGATACAGAACTTATTGAACTTTAACATGAACACAGAAGGTAGTAAACTTCTGCCTTCAATGAAGGAATACATACAATATTTTGAACTAATTTCAACAGCCCCGCTAGAACAAAATATTGACCTAAGCTAGACACAAACTATAGATGCTTAACGTACAAGGTTTTGGTTAAAATATCTGGTTGCATTTTAGTTCTATTGTGACACTCGATTCCCAAACAAGAGTTTCTTCAAATGATTTGATCTTCTCTTCCATATCTTTTCTCCATTGTGCAGAATCATTTTCATTCTTACACACAAATGTACGAAATAATTTTGCTTTTTGGTCTCATTTTAAGCGCTTTTCTTCGGAAACGTGTACCATAATGTGTAACATTTTCTAAATTGGCATTGACCATATCTTATATATCATATATCGTTTAATATCGGACACGGGATAATAATACTTTTGTAACAGTGGATTTGTGTATGTTTTCTTAAAATCGATATTCTGATGTCTTATGTCATTCTGGAGACACAAACAATAGGACTAGAGATTTCAGCATATTTTGTGGCTATTGAAATTCTATCATCCATCCATCCATCCATCGTATTCTGCAATTTCTTCTCTACATTATCACAGGTTTTATGCAAGATTATGGATGCATGTTCTAAACTAAACTAAAGTAACTAAATTGGTGTGTGTGTCGTGGACCTTTGAAAAAATAAACTTTAGGAATCCACGGCAGTCACGTTTACAACATTTTTAAGGACAACTTGCGGAGACTGGAACTAGCACTGAGGCTTTGTCCAGCCAGTACTCGGCAATCAACTATATTGCTAGTAAGGGTGACAACAATACCTTATTACAATTGGTTCTTTGGTCTGTGACAGTTTGAACATTAATATAAGACCATCGAAAGGAATATAACTAAGGGATTTCTTTTAATGACATTAAACTGACGTGACATTTGTCTGGTTCTGACCTTAAGACATTGACGCTTTCTTCTGACATTAGATTTATTGGTAAATAGAATTAATCTTTTTCATTTGATTCTATTTGATCGACTTCTTCCAATGCATGGTGAAACAGCACTTCTGATTTTGTGATTTTGGATGATGACTTTGATTATGGCCAAGCCGTTGCTGATTTTAATTAACAGACTGACTAGGACTAGATGATTTACTTGAAACATCTAAGTTCAACATCTTACTATTCCTCTTACTTCACTTTCAGAATATATATTTTGACTTTGTTCTTCTGCTAGTTCGATGCTTAAAGCTAATGAACAACAATGGCCCAACTTTTTTCTGACAAAAGACTTTGTTCATGTTTTTCTGATAAGATCCACGTACCGAGGCTTCAGGGCCAATCTATATTAAACATAAAGATACTTTTTTATCTACAGGAACACCATTACAGCTGAAATAAAAATTCATTCTTTCTGAATATGGTTTTATATCTGTTATGTTCGGGTTGAATTGTTCTATATTCCCAATAGAGTAAAACATTTTTTTCCTACTTTGTTTTTTTCTTACTAATTCATTCAATATGTCGACTTCTACGACTGTACTCTTCGAGACTTGACCTTTTTATCTCTGTTGTTAAGTGTGTTAAGGTGCGTTTACGATAAAAGCTTAAGTGCACTTTACAATATTTTGTTTACTTTCGAGCTCCAGATTTTTAATTTGTATGTATCGACGAAGGGTATAATTGATTTTAGGGCTTACCCGCAGAAGGGATAACCATCTTCGGTTCTCAGTTGCATACTCATTTGACCGGTGCAAGGGTGTATACCAGACACTTCGACTCATATGGACGGGAACTGCCAGAACTGAATCGTGATAACCACTACAGCACGCACTTTCAAGAAATCAGAAAGCTAAAAAAGCCGATCAAAGTACTGCCGGTAAGTAAGGCAACGTTTGTAAGTACTTATGTAGAAATATTTCCTGAAATATTCGAAATACATGATATGTTGAAAAAAACAAGAAAATCATAATATGAAACACACATGAGTTATTCTTCAAGCAAATAAGTTAAAATTTGTGCAAAACGTCTTCCTGCAGAGGAATTGATCTCTCGCCCTCTTCTATTTTCTTCAGCAATTCTTCATTAGATGGAGTAGCTTAGTAACTCTGTTTTTCTTTTTTGAATGGAATGAACAGTGGAATTATCACTCAAAATTACTAAGTAACCAAAACACATTCATTGTCATTGTCGCTCGATGAGGAATTTTCTTCTTCCCGCTGGACAAATTTTCGTTTGATTTGGGCAATTTTTACAAACTTTACTTAAATGTACTTTCAACCTGCACACATTATTATTATAAAATTCACCAATTATCAACACTATCAAAAAATCAAAAATTAACTTCAAGTTTATACAAATATACTTTGCATCATGCGTAATGTATGAGAATTTTTTAGTAAGGTAAATAATATGAATGTCTTTCAGCGATTGCCAATTGCCAATAAGTTGGTAATTCCTCAAACTCTATATGTGTTTGTAAAAATTGTTGTATAGTAAGTTTACTGCTTATAAGGTTATAAAATATGAAAGATATAGTAATAAACATGGCCTTTAAATAGTCAATGAAAAGGTATTTTCACTATTTCTGAGACAGTTTCCATTTCATTTACACTATTTGTTCGCGTTTGCTAATCTCAATGTATCGATTACTGCATTGTTAAATATTTATAATTGATTTAGAAAGGAACCTACTTTAGTTTTCTATTTTTATATATATAAAGTAATTATAAAAATTTTCATTACAAATTGAAATAAAAAAACCGTGAAGTAATTTTTTCAAAGAGAATTCGCAATTTTTATAATTTTTTCACATTTCGCATTTAGAAAAAGGTTTTAAAAAGTTGTAGCTTCCGAAATATATTAAATATTACGTTACAGTTTTATGCCACCTAACTTAGTGATTTTTATTGTTAATATAGATAAAATTATTAAATTAATTAGTTAAATTATTTAAAATAATTGTAAACTTTTTTATAACTATGAACCTCCGAAATTTCAAAGAATAGTGAATTGTGGTCTAATAAGTGTATTATATCTTCTGCCTGTTCATTAATTTTAAAATTATTTTGTGTTAACTTTAATTTATTTATTGTAAAGTAAGTAAACAAAGATAATAAATAACATAATAAATTAAAATTAAATAATATTTTATTGTAGATGAAGGAGCTCATGGTTATTTGAAAGGCAGTGTAAATTTAAATGAATTTATAATAATACAGGGAAAAGACACTATGTGTAAAAAAATCAGTAGGTCGAACTTGACGTATAATAGTAAATTATGCAACAAGTGCGATAAATGGCATTTGATTCACGAATTTATTTGACACGAGCGGAGCGAGTGTTTAATAAACGAGTGAGTTAAAAAGTTTACCGAACGTGTTGCCTACTATACTTTTTCTACGACCGTTTGTTTTTGGTTACATTTTTGTAAAACAACACGAATACATTCACTGACATGACCGTCAGAATTGACAAACGTCAAAATTCAATGCGTGGGAAATATGTCCAAAAACATCCGATTGCTCCCAATTCCGTGCGGTAAGATACCGGAAATGTCCGAAGTGGCTCGGATTCATGTGAAACGAAACTGACGTGGTAAAGTGACGCTTCCCGTATGCTAGTGTGTAATTAGGTATTTTACAGACGGGAGTAGAAAAATATATATACCGGTTTACCTTCTTAATAAAATGTTTCTGTCACGAATACATTCACTGACATGACCGTCAGAATTGACAAACGTTAAATTAAAAGCGTGGGAAATATTTCCGAAAACATACGATTGCTCCCAAACCCGTTCGGTAAAATCCCGGAAATGTCCCAAGAGGCTCGGAAATTGATGAGAAAATCACAAATAGTATAATGTGCATTTGTCCATATCAGCCGAGGCACCAGCGACGAACATCCGAAAGCGGACGAAACATCTATCAAAATAAACAGAGAGGTTAAAATACAGGTGTAATCGAGGCTCAAATATCAAATTAATTTATAAAATGCGGCCAAATTACATTACTTTGATTAATTATCTAAATAGGTGGTTACCACTATTCAGTGTACGTACAAACAAAACAAAATTAATAGTTTACAAAATAAAGTAGAGGTTATTGGACATGATATAAAGAACAACAATTTACGCTATTGTTTAAGCTAAAAAAAACTTACAACTTCTATTAAAACTTAGATAACTTTTACTTTTTGATTCTTGGATATGCTAGGTAGCTGGTTAATTTTTTGCATAATCCAAAGTGTTTTAATTGACAACCATATCCTTAAAATAGTGGCATGCGTTTTTTTTAACCTTTCATGATTCGTTATAATCGCCGTATCCGATTTTCCGAGTAAAACGTACCTAAATACAATTTTGCTATGACAGCAATGACTTATTTAAAATAATTGAGAACCTTTAAACAAACACATTTATAATCGGTTTGGCTTTTTGTTTAATTAAAATGCAACTGAATCTTTTAAGCTGATGAGTCACTGTAAATATTAACAGATGGATTTTAAAAACATCGTAATGTAAACAAATCATAATTATTCTGTATCGAGGAAAATGCTTTCTCCACGGCAACGTTTTGCCGCCCTCCCTTCCGCGCTGCCCCGAACGAGCCCTATACGATTTTATTATTTAGACGGGAGTAGAAAAAAATATTTACCTGCTTATCGCAATATTGGAAAACGATTTTCCAAACATAATGCTAACTTATGTTGGAAAATATAAAAATTGAATTAATATTTAAATCTTTTTTTTTTTCGCTTTTTGCGACAGTCGTTTCGTCTACGTCATCGCAAATATTTTGCATTTTAGGGCGACGTGTTGATCACAAGATGCGATTATAACACCAAGGGTCGGCGAAATATTACTTTGGGCGGCTTCAGCATAAGCGACGAAATGTGCGTGAACTATATTCACTACTATCCGCACACAGATCTGGAAGTTTGCAAGAGTTCGATAAGCGACCAGGCCCTTAAGACATTCTTTGACTACATGAACGAGTACGTATAAATTTGTAATTGTTTTAAATTTTCTGAATGTCAATTCAAGGAAAAAAATCCCAAAACCATTTGATAGATCCAAAATTCCAATCCGTTTTGGACCTTTTCATGGGGTGTGTCAAATTTTTAAACGATATAATTTACTTAGTCGTTCCACAAAGTTAAGAAACAATCCTTAGAAGAGAACCATTTTTTCATAAAGAAAAAACAATCCATTAAAATTGTGAAATAAATTAATTAAATGTTTTAATTGATTTGTCTTCAGAAAACTCTATAGGTTGAGTTATTGGGATTTCAAAAATTAATACTTTAAATGATCCGAGGAAATGCGGGCTTTAAATTAAACCCGAAATATTTCTCAAATAAGGAAGTCGATCTCCCTTGCACATACCTTAACAACTCTAACTCTCAGCTCGTTTTGTTTGGCGGTGGCCATGATTTTGCTTTAAATAATAAAGTTAAATTGATTCTGTGTACTTCGTAAGAAATTTTGACGCATTTTTTGATAATGAGATTTACTTGTCATTTGTCTTATTTAGTCCAACAACATTATTGTAAACTTAAGGCCATATAAAATTTCTTACCCGTCCAATCAAACTTACTGATTGGTTAGATATGAGCACACTTATGATTATTTAGACACACAAGGCGGCAATCTGAACCCTATTACAGGTCATTTAACTGTTTCTTTCCAGATGGGAAAATCAACCGACATCGTCTACCAATGCAGTATCCGATAATTACAGAGCGATAACTTGGAACCCCATGAGGGTCCAACTATTGAACGAAGTGTATCGCGAAGCTCCGCTGAGTATGCAATGCAATATGTCCAGCGGCGATCGATTCCCGGGATACTGGGAAAATGCTTCGGTACCTCCGGTCTTCCTTCCACTGACGCCGTCGTCTAGAAAATGCAACCGCGACGCTTACTAAATGTAGCCGTTAATAAACCAATTTGAAGCATTCTAGCAGCTAGTCCAACAATTAAAACAATTTAAAATATTGGTTGCGTGTTAATTCTTAAACCATATTTTCCTAATATTTGAATTGTCAATTTGGATTGAACCCGACCATTAATATTTCAGCCGTCAGGTCAGACGACAAAAATTTAAAATAAGTCGACAAATACCAACCAGTTGGCGAAACCAAAAGGTAAAAATACAACTTGCAAATTTTCCACTTGCATTCGCGTCCCCTTTTAAGCAACAATTCTCCAATTCCTCTTCGTTCGTTAAAATCGGCACCGACTTCGAAACGCTCGGTGAGATTTCTTTTCAATCGGCAGAGGTTCTCCAAAAGAAATACTTTTTTTCTTCCTTTTTTCAATAGTTCCCGCGATACAATTCAAAACTGTAAATTTTAAAAAAAGAAACTAGAAACGCGAAGGTATCGGGTGGGTATAGAAAACCCAAAACAGCAAAATCACCTCCCGTTGCCGGGTCTGAAAAAACTAAAGTTCCATTTCGCCCAAAAAGAAGAAGTGAACCGATTGACTGTTAATTGGTTTTTAAGAAACGACATTTTCAAAACGGTTCTCATCAGAATCACAAAAAAATCAATATCGAATTCGTAAACTTTGAAACAAAACAATCCGCGTGACTCGTTGGTAATTTGATAACTACTTCTAAAAAAAATGAATTTATAAATAAATCGAGTTCCCAAAGTTTTGGATAAAATGCACACCAAAATTGCAATTGCAGTTTCTCCAAATGTAAATCGGCAAGTTTCCTTACCATTTGAACTCCTTTTACAAAAAAATCATCGATCTTAGGGGTAAAAAGTACAATTTTGTTTTGAAAACGCCGATGAACAATGAACGCAAGTAACGTTATCCAACCTATTACACAGAGTCAATCGTAAATGTTGTCTCAGAAAACGGAAAACTTTGGCACTATTTACTGTTCCGACGGCGACAGTTTTTGATTTTGCTGCCCGACGGCGAATTTGTTTTTATCCTTGCGAAAACAATCTCTCACCCAACTGAATAGCAATTTCAAAATCTGCTGGATGTAAAGCCTCTTAAAAATCCAATTGACTAACCGAATCCGGTAGAATAACCAAGAAATTCTTCTTACTGTCCAAACCTCCTATCGAATGGACGAAAAAATGTATACATCTTCGTTAAGACTGCTCTGGTCTGCACTGTGTGGCGGTCAGTTCGGCACTGGCGTCCTGGGCGGCATCCCCTTGCATGCACATACGGTATGGCACGCGCTTGGACCGTTACAGTCGCATGACCTTCACGTGTTCATTTCATAGCGGGGTTTCAAACAAAACAACCAAAAACTAGGAAGTTCTTCATAACCATGGTCAATATATTGTAGGAATTTAGGCGAACTTTATTTAATACTCTCCGAGAAATGCTGATGCCTCAACTAGCGGAAAGGTATGAACGTTATTAACATACACTGTTAAACTTATAACTCAATAACTTCCTGATACCCATCAATTGCTTTTGGTCGCCTCAATTTTAATAGGCGCTCCTCGACTCCATTAATCACTTTGTTTATTGGAGGTCCTCCCCAGTGTTTGTTTGGCTGGCCTTTATATCAGCAAATTTAGATTTCGTTTTGCTTTTCCAGTCTGTCAGTGCCTGCAGAAACCATTATTAACTTCAAGAACATTGTCTATTTGAAACCCTTTTTTCAACCCAAACATACATTTTATATCTAAATGCTTCACATAAACTTACTATTCTCCATTCTGTTATCGTATTTTCATCATATCCTAAAGAATTTTGGCCGTTTACTAAATTGTCCTATAATTTTTCCAAAGTATTTCGCCCATCTTCAGCATTTAAGTTATCACTTTCAATAACATATCCTGCGAATCTAATGTAATGGTTTTTAATTGTTTAATGAAATGAAAGGAATTAAGTACGAACTAGATAGGTAGATATTTTGCTAGAGAATATGTCGGAGCACTAACGGGTAATCCTGGTGTGGGAATTGTAGAGTCATATGCAGAAGAAGTCTTAATAGCAGATTTAACTTTGGTTTCGTAGATTCCTAGATGACGTAGGATCTTTTTTAAGTCGATGATTCACTTGTGTTCCTGTCCATGAATTTCATTAGCTGTTTGTTTAATGAAGGCTCGACATTTAAAATGATTTCGTCTTTTGTTTTTCTCTCAAACAATTTCTACATTAGAGATATTAAGCGTTCCATCACAAAATACACTTCATCACCACCTTCTAAAAACAATGAGTTCGAAATCAACCCCACAGTTGCCTCTGTTGTCCTTCCTTACATTTAAAATATCACTGACCACATATCAAAAGTTCTTAAGATATATAACATGAAGATTAGGAGGAGGAATCCAGAAAATTTGTAAGTAGTATTACAGCAGCTTGTGGAAGTTTCGTTAAAAAAAGACGTTGTGCATCCTAACCATCTTCTTTCATTATAATTGTTTTTCAACTGTGTACTAGTCGACACGCATTTGTGCTTCCACTGAGTTTGTGTACCAAGGGTAAAGCTGTATCCTCCCATTTCTCACCTATGATCTGGAAACGCACTTGACTTATAGAGAGCTTATTGAACTAAGAATAACACAAAGAACATGCTGGGCAACAACTTTTGAGGACGAAGAAAGAGTTAAAAGAGCCTGGGCAGGACAGATTGCCAGAGAAGCACACACAAGATGGACAGAACGCATGATGCATTGGACGCCCAAAAACGCATAAAAGAAGCATCGGTAGACCTCCCAGGTGGGTGGAAGGCATCAAAAAGGCAGCGGAACGAGAATGGAACAAATAAAGAAGAGCGGTTGCAGTGCAGTGGATGTTTAAAGGCTGAAGAAGAAGATACCATTTGAAATATTTTAAGCTGTTTGACTGTCTCTGTTTTTCAATCCAAATTTTACAACAGATATTTTGTATTTAAAATATCGTTTTAATCAATAAACAAACTGAGTTATTTATACATGAGATTGGTTACATCGTCATTTTACTAACTAGACCGGTTAAGCTTTAACGACGGCTTTGCCGATATTGGCGCCTTGCAGCATTTCCGCGAACGCGGTGAACATATTCTCGAAACCTTCGGTGACGGTCTCCTTGTATTTGAGCTTCCCCTCGTTGATCCACTCCAAATTTTTCCGAAACGCGTCCAGCATTTTGTCCTTCCACCTGCCCGTTATAAACCCCTCCATTTTCAACTGTTTCCCCACCATTGCGAACTGTACAATGCTCGCTAAAAACAAATAATGTTGGCGTCAACGACACGACTAACGTCTAACCGGTCGGTGAACTTGGCTCCCGAAGTGAAGTCATGGCTCTGTTTTAGAAAAAGAATATACTTGGAATGTGCGTTATTTATATTGCTAGACAATTTATAGTAAAAACTTAAGAGCTCTTATTTTGTTATATTAACATTGAAATTTTCGTTAGACACCTCTTCCGTTTTAAATGTATAAAGTCCAGTTAGAGCATCGTTATCTAGTTCTTTACTGGATGTCTTAAATTGACACAGCAATTTTGTTTGTCAGTTTTGAACTGCGCGTGAGGATAAAAATTTTTAAATTTAGCGTATGATCAAACGATTTCTTGAAAAAGAGCAAGCGCTAATTTTAAAACTTTGGAATGATTATTTCACTAGAGGAAAAAATGCTGGGAAACCACTTTTACCCTTAAACCCCGCACACAATGTAAGTATTTGCCGTCCCCATACTTGAAACCATTTTAATGAGCGAGCAATTTTGGTTTCTGAATAGTATACGGATAATTTTAGACAACGTGGCAAACGACATCCTTCGTAGACGCAAAGTATGTCCACTTTGAGGTATCCGCTTCATTTAGGAGAGCTGGTTGCGCCGACTTATTTGTATAATCCTTCGAGAGATTCCGAAACTTCGTTAAGAAATGGTCTAGATATGATTCTACTGATCTTGACTTTCGACGAAGATGTGGAACAAATTTAGACGAGAGGGATGAAATATTTGAAGAACTGACGTTCATTCCGGGTTCGAATGATAATATACATTTGTTACATATGAACGATGAACAGTCTGATTTTCTCTAGGAAGTTTTACCGCTTGAACTCGATTATTACAATGTCGTTTTCAGCTATCGCTACTATGAAGGGGCATCGACGATACTCCGGTATCGAATCAACAGTGGCGGTTCCTCCTTAGATTTGCAGGTTTGCACAACCCCCAAAAACTGTAGGTAAAATGCTAATAATTATATATTTTTTATAATTCTTAAATTAAATTCTGTTGAGAGTTTACTTTCAAAGCCTTTCTGTAGTCGATCATTAATCGAAAAAGCAGAAATAAAGCGAGGAGGCCTATTCCAAATTTAAAAATAGAACAATCAATGTCTAACAAAAAACTGACTTTTATTGACTTTCTTGTTTGTTATTCGGCGGAGAAGATTCATGAACGAAAAATGGTTTTACCGACTTAAATCATTCAGAGGACCGCATCAAGGAGCATACATCGTCGGCAAAACACACGAGGAATGTTTTACAATATTCTCTTTTTGGAACGGTAAACGTAGGTGCTCAGTTATCGGCGTGATATTGAGTTGAACGGCGCTCTCAACATATGGGAAAAGCAACTGTATGTATTGCTTTATTGCTGATGAAATTAGCAAATCAATTCCAAATGGGCAATTGTATTTAGATATGTTGTAAGAGGTAAAAACTAACTAACCAAAAACACACTCATTGCACAAACATATGCATCATGCAACATGTGCATCAGTTTTGAGCGGATCATCTAACGGGGTGCATGCAATTATTAAAAAGATTTATGAACACGCTGTATACGTGCATTGTTAAGCATATCAATTAAATTTGGTAATGTTAAACTCGGCATCCGCATAAAAGAATGTCCGAATTTTTTTTGCAAATTTACAAGGAAGATGTAATTTTAATTCCAGGGTTGTTTGTATCTTATATGAATATAAAGACGACATTCTGGAGACAATTGAAAAAATCCCAGAAACGTTAGCACTACTTCCCAAGCATCAGGGTATGTCAAAATATTTTCATGTTCTGGCTAAACTTATTTTAGAAGATAATACCACATGTTGACTTGTTATTGGGTTAGTTTTAGAAAGAGAAATGGACGTTGTTATCGCAAACAAATGTATATTATAATTTGAAACTAAGTTGAAAGAAATTAGAAATCTTCATCTAACGCAAAGCGCCGGACTCTGCGGAATATCAAGCAAAGGAACGATTCAGCTTTACAGGCCACTTAGTCGAAGCCAATCATTTTTTTTCTGAAGGGTACAGTCAATGTAGTGCTTGTTTTCCTGAACAAAAATTTTAAGAGACGATCAAAACTTACGCATTTTCCATCGAGCTCAAACTCCGTACGTAGAAGAATTAAAGCAATTGTACTTTCTGATTTTATTTCTCAAAATACGGAGCTAAGTGAAACTTTTATTAGAACTTTTAAACTCATAAAAAAAGCATACCTAACTTCAATCAGAGCATTATGGATAAGTTTGCGTCTGCTAAAGGTCATCGTATGGATTTTTTCTTAAAATAAATCCGAAAACCGAATTGAGACAATTGTCTGTTCGTTCCCTCAAAATTACTTCTTAAATCTCGCAAAGACCTCGTCGATGCTCGGTTTTCCCCGGAAGAAAGATCGATCCGTTCGATCCTTTGCCCCATGTTGTTAGGTCAAGTTGAAGGTAATATTTTTGAGTGTTAATTCTCACAGCACTATAGTGGTCTCTAACAAATTGCAGGACTTTTTAAATTAAAGATGCTAAGAACTTGGCCTGGATCCGGATGTACTCCCTTGTTGATTGTTCTTCACTCTTTTTAAAGCGCCATTAAAATGTCATCGCTAATGTTTATGCTTCCGGGAATGTTCTGAAGTACATACCTACATAACTACAGGTTAAACCGAAGGTGCTGGTCCAGTTGCTTTTTTTTACAATATCTTGCTTTTCCAGTCGATTGAGCTCTGGTTCAATTTTGGTTCTTAGATGAAGTGGTATTCAACAATGTTTGTTAGTAACAGAGAGATTGCTAATCTTCCAGCTCATTTTAGCAGTTCTGGGTGGCGTTGTATTACGTGATTAAATCTATCGATGCCTGATGGATGAGAAGACGTTTTGATTCCCCTTGAATTACAACTACATTTTCTAAACAGATGCTGTACGTTTATTTTAAAAAAATTGCTGCAATCATCTGCTAGTGGTTTGGAAAAATACTTGTAATATATTTCCTTTGATATAATATTTACTGAAGTGTCTGTGTCGACAATGAAATTTAATTTTACTTGTTTGTTGTTTCCATCGTTCCATTGTTGTCTTCCATTTCACTTTAAGATTTGTTGCAGGGAAGGGTTGTCAGTTTTAGTTTGGATGACGTTTTCTCCTGTATTATTTGGGATTTAATTTCCCCGGTTTTGCCAGCAAATCCACAGTTTATACTAAGCTTCATCAACCTCGCTTAGTACCCATCAATGCTTTCGGATTCAAGATGCAGAAATTCAGAAATACATTTAGAAATTGCATCGTGTCTACTGGGGTTAATCCAGACAACATCTAAATGTTGGGGGTGTTTTACGGTTAATGGTGCTTATGAACTATAATTCATTTATCAAAAAAAATGTTCACGTCGATGCTACTTTTTCCAAGAAGCGGCAACGTTGTAGGGTTTATTTTCGATCGACGGAGCATTGCCGCTTACGCAACTCAACCGTCAACCATCAACCGTGAAACACGCTATACATTTGTTTACATAAAACTCCGGACAAGGAGCCAAGTTTACCGGAAGTTCAGACGCGGCCCACATCTGTATCTCACCTTTGGTGCTTCTGTCATTATACCCGGAAATCGAACCACAGACTGACACTCTCCCGTACGCGTTCATGTTGTTCAAGACTATCGTACTAATCTCTCCGCCAACCTGTTAAAAGATGTGACATGTTGATGGAAATTCCGGAAAACTTCACAAAATATAACGCGTGCTGTAGATATTATAATACCCGGTATATTCCGACACATGATAAAGGGTCATGACTGCAATAATGATATTAACGTGTTAATCTGACATTTTTGGGTAGTATAATTCTTCACCGAATGTAAGGCCGGTTTCACAAAAAACTGAAACGGCTCTTAAAGCAAAGTTATGTGGAGTATATTATAGTCCACCATGTCGTTGTTACAAATACGTTAAAAAATAAAGGCTAGCCTAAAATGGTAGTAGTGAATAAGTATAATATAGGCTTCCCCCACTCCTCTCCCTTTTTGTGGGGTGTCCTCCTTACCCACGACTCTCTAGCTCCTCCCCCTTTACCCATAATCCCTTGAAACTGGCTCCCATTGGATAAGCAAGCACCAATGGGGTTTAATCAATCTCCCCACCTCTAGTTTGCGATGGCGGCGAAGCCAATCAGAGCCCAGATATTTTCCCACCCCTAAGAAAAGCAATGGCGTCAATGAGACTTGATCATATTGTTCGCGTGACCATCTGCACCCTCTAGCGGTTCGAATGTAAACTAGTGTCCCCTCTTGGAATAAGATTTTCTTTAATAAGGTAACCCCACCTAGTGAATATTGACCAAAACATTTATTTTAAAAACATATAGTTCTGCGAATGTGTACCCACGCGGGTACAAACTGTACTTTTATTGCGCACAAAGGACAGGGGAAATAAAGACGAAAAGTGTTGGATTTCTTTTCTCGGAACTGGAAGCTGGCAGGCACCACCAATAATATCTGCAAAACAAAAAGCTGGTTAAAATTTTCATTAATAAAGTAGGATATTAGAAACCATATACCTTTTTAATTTACTAAGCAATCTACCGTGCGTTAACTTCATACATATTTCCGCATGCTTCTGTTTTAAGGTATCGTGAAATATTTGACTATTTATCTGGGAAAAGTTCATATGTCGAAAATATTATGTGTATGTGGCCGTGGTAGGCTTTCTTTACTATTATAATTTTATTTTTATTATTTAATATTTACAAAATTAATTTGTCTATCTTATTGATGATTTTGATTTTCTTTGCTATTTTTATTATTTGTTTTTATTATTTAATATTTTCAAAATTAATTTAATTTATCTATCTTATTGATGATTTTAAGATATCGCAGTCAACTTTACTATTTCATCAATTTCTTTTATTTATTGCTGATCTTTGAGGATAGTGTACATACTTTTTTTCGTAACTTATCTGTATCTACCCTTTAATTTCCTATCAAGCCATAAAGCAAACTCGAAAGGCATCTTAACTAAAAAGTCATATACTTTAAAGCTGCTGCGACTACTACATGAAAGTGTGTTTCTATGCAATCTCAACAATAATGAAATCTGGACGCTTATATTAAATACTGTAATACTCTTCTCTGCTAACGCTCTAGGAGACGCTATTTGAACCCTGTTCAAAGAAAAACTTCTACAGCCCAAATAACCCCTCTGAACCACACTTAAGCGCATCACTCTTTCACTGTCTTGCAGCCTTCAGATTAATATTCCGTACTAACTACGTATGCCATACACGAAACGTTCTCTTTTCTAATTTTTTTCTATGCGCTACATTAACGAACAGGATCTAAACTTTTCTGTCTGTGTATTTTGTTAGCCACCTTAAAAAAATTTAAAAAAAGGTATGCGAACCTAGAGGATATTTTCCATATTTTTCACAAATGGTGACAACAATTAATGCAAGTATTATTTTTAATAATAATCCATCTTTCGCTATGACACGAAAACATCGACTTTTTAATTCTAACTTTTCTCATAGAGCTTCCCTTTAGTCTCTATCTGTTCTTTAACTAAATCCCCACCTTTTTGAAAAACCAACCTCTAAAAATAGTTAATTTTCTCTAATTTAAATTTGTACGTTTTCCGCAATATGTGTGAATATTTTCGCTAGAGCATTTAGTTACTTAGTACATGTCCTAATCAATATTTTAAAAATATAATTCTAATGATACGTGTTTACGATTTGAAGATAACGAAACATTCCCCAGTTTCATAAATGAGAGCTCACTGCCAAACTACCAAACATCACAGTACAAACTACCGTACTACGCCCCCCTGGACAAAATCAGGTCAGTCAGCGTCATTAATTCTACCTGCGTTAACGAATAGCGTATTGTTAATTATGGTTTAATACGCAGAAAATTTAAGTAACAAATAATTGCAATGAAACTCACTAACATCATAAATTATTAAAAAAAAAATTAGAACAGTTGGAATTTACTGGAGTAACCAATTTGGCACTAAAAATGGAAATTTTCGATACTCTACTAGGTGCCTACAATAAATTTTACTATTATTTTTAATGCAGAGACACAACGATTTTGTAGTTTTGAATTTGATCAGGGGTATATGACCATAGTTTACGCCGACTCTAAAAGGCATGCAGTCTATTGTTTTTGAACGCCCAATTTTGTGTATTATGTTCAAAACAGAGACTCTCTGGGCTTACGACTACAGCTACCAGCTACTACTTTCAATAATATTAACACAAAAAAACTAGGTGGCATTTCTATAATACGTGCAAAGTTTATGTGAAACTGACTGGAAGACAGAGTAATGCACCAATATGTTACTAAACATATTTCGATAGAATTCCGTAAGAGCTTACCTCCAAGTTTCCTCATTTAGTCAGTCAAAGCATCAAATGGGAAATTCCAATCCAACATATGTAGTGGTGGAAATATATCAATCGCCTACGTTACCGATGGTACCCGACTGAAGCTTCTGCGTCTTCTTTACCCCACATGCCTACTTAAAAAGATACTGGTCTAAGTCTCAATATTCCTGTTAAAAAAAAAGAGAGGTTCTATATTGCCATAAATATGTGTTTTCAAAATTTTACCTGAATGGTTCGTGATTCCTTATATATGCAGTGTTGGCAGCAATGTGGCGACGACTACGCTGAAACTTTCCATATCTCGTGTCCCCATGACTGGTCTGTTTCATATATCAAACCTCACCTCGCACGGGTTTGAACCTCCTTTTAAAAAAAAAAACAGGCAAGACTTATACTTATATCAAAGTAATACGAGGAACTTATATTTTATGCCAAAACTTATTTCATCACCTCCAAAGGGGAGTAGGGGTTTCTAAAGTATGGTAGGTACATCTCTTTCATTTTTTAATTAAAAAAGTGACACAATTACGCGACGTAACTCGATCCGGATCGTTAACGCGTCTCAAGATGGGGGGTTTAGAGATGCTGAGGTCATTAAATTGATTCACTATTACCAGTACACACTGAAACCCCTTATTTCCAAAATAAAAAAATTGTTAACTGTTAACACAACAAAAAAAACTATTTTCTCACCAATTATATTTCTGGGTCGTTTTCAGAATTTGTCCAACGTAGAATCCCAAGAGGATAGGGCCGCAATTTCGAAAAATGTTCATGTCTCCCCACTATGCATTTGTACAAGAAGCAGGGCCGGATTAACAGCAATTATATTCTTGTCAGTCAACATACAGCCGCCGATTGAATTCTCGGATTCTGCTTTACTAGTTGCCATGGTCTGTCAAATATGTTACTTAAAAATTGTATATTTTTTTTTTACAAATAATATACCTTTCCTAAAATAATTCCGCCTTTGTCAAGTGGGACACGGGCACGTCTGTCCGCTTTGAAAAGCGCAGGCGTATGTATCTTCCAAAATGATCCAAGCAGGCCCGGATTGCCAGCAAATACACAACTCCCCGATTCAATTCTGAGATGTTGCTTCACGAGTTACCATGATCTGTCAAATATTTTAATTAAAAAAAAATCTATTATTTAGCAACAATATACCTTTTTAAAATAATTTCGTCTTTTTTCAAGTTCAACAGGACACGTGTGTTCGTTTCAGTTGGACAAGGGCACGTCTGTCCGCTTTGAAAAGCGCGGCGTATGTATCTTCCAAAATGATCCAAATTGTTAACCTTTTTTTGATTCCTCGTTCCCCGATTCAATTCTGAGATGTTGCTTCACGAGTTACCATGATCTGTCAAATATTTTAATTAAAAAAAATCCATTATTTAGCAACAATATACCTTTTTAAAAATAATTTCGTCTTTTTTCAAGTTCAACAGGACACGTGTGTTCGTTTCGAAAGGTTTCGTAGTCTGTAGCTCTGTCGAATTCTCCAAAATTCGTTAAACCTTCAGATATTTTCAAAATTTGTCCAACGCAGACTTCCACTCACGCAGTTTCGAAAACTTTCTGGTCTCCCCGCCATGCATTTGTACACGAAGCCGTTCTGGACTATCAGCAAACAGCACATCCGTCATTTTTCTTCTCGGATTCCGCTTGACGAGTTACATCGATCTGTCAAATATTTAATGTAAAACAATCTTATCTATTACTTTTACCCAATATTAAGTACCTATTCAAAATTAGTAGCGCCTTTTCGAGTTCGAAAGGTTTCGTAGCCTATAGCCCTGCCGAAATGGCATTGCATTTGTACACGAAGCAGGGTCGGATTGTAAGCAAACAGCACCCCCGGTCACTTTTCTTCTCGGATTCTGCTTGACGAGTTACATCGATCTGTGGAATATTTAGCGAAAAAAAAAATTATCTATTACTTTTACCAAAAATGAAGTACCTTTTTTCTTTAAAACAGTTCGTCCTTTTCGAGTTTGAAAGGTTTCGTAGCCTATAGCCCTGCCGAAATGTCATTGCATTTGTACACGAAGCAGGGTCGGATTGTCAGCAAACACCACAGGCGTCACTTTTCTTCTCGGTTTCTGCTTGACGAATTACATTGATCGGTCAAATATTTAATATAAAAAATATCTATTTTACCAAAAATACGTACTCTTCTAAGATAAATTAGCTCTTTTCGAGTTTAAGAGGGCACGTATGTCAACTGTAGGATGTTTTATTTTTATATTTTCCAGTGTCTATAAATTAATAAACAACAGAAGCTTCCGAATACAAAAAT